CCTACACCAGAAGTACCTAGAATGTTCTACAACATTCTAGAATATTATCGAAAAAATTGATTCTAAAAAGGAAATGTTATACATTTTTCTAGTGTGTCTCATTACTTTTGTGCCAACCCAATAGATACTGCCAGATTATTATACTTCAGTTACTTTTATAGTGTAATTTCGTACGGAATCCTATTGTGGAGAAATGCTGGCAAATGCTACAAACGATTTTTGTGCTTCAGAAAAGAGCAATTAGATCAATTTATAATCTTAGGATCAGGGACTCGTTTAAGAAGAAATTAAGGAAATAGATATAATGACTTGCTTCTTAATACACATACTAGAACTTAATGTACGTTCGTAAAAATATTAGTTTGTTTTCTATAAAAAGTAATGTACATAATTTTAATATAGGAAATAAAAATAAATAGACTGCAAAATCTTAATAAGGTTCCAAGCAAAATACAACAATTAGATAACATGCAGTTTAAATTTACTATTAAAAAAGCTTATTATAAGGTATCCGATTATATAACAGATAAGAATGCTTGGATCTAAGATGGTCTACCAAAGGGATAGGTGATTTGTTCTAAACTCATTGTATCTAAAAATTATGTTATCATTATAAGACCATAGCTTTTTTTTTCTCACTATTTACAATGTATTAATCTGGTAATGATGTGATTTTTGTGAATGTCATTACTCCTATTCGATCTGGTGAGTTTCTTGTTCGTTCTTTTTATCAGCTAAAAGACGTCAAGAGTGGTAAGTGTAAGTTTTACTCTAACTAGTGAGCGCGTTAAGAATTTGTATTTATTAGTACCGGATTCCATACTAAAATCTTAACGCGCTCACGATCGATAGTGAACGTAAACGTCAAAAAAAACTTACACTAAGTGCTCTGAACGAGTGGTAGGGAAAAATGTTGGACGTTTCAAAAGTACTTTTAAGGAGTCTTGATTATTTTATTTTTATTCTAGATACTTGACTAGAAGGAACCGATTCACTTTTGACTCGAAGAGTCCCAGATTGTATTTGTCCGGAAACAGCGAGTCTGGTAGCGAATTCCACAGCTTATAATTTATTTCAATAAAGATTATTTTGACTTTTGACTTTTTGGGATTAGATATTGATGCATTCAGTCAGGGCTGTAGCTAGAGTCGAATTTTAGGCAGGGCAGCATTGGTTATGGGTAGGGCGGAAGTAAAAAAATATAATTGATCTGCTCCGAAGCACGGGTTACTAAATCAATCACCATGTATATAACTGACCACTGGGTTAATAGCTATTCGTAAACAAATAATTTTTGTGACAGAACAAGAGCCTGAATCTAAGAACTATTAGATCCTCAATGATGAAGGACAAGTGAACAAGATGTAGAGATCCAGGTCTTTAATATTATCTTATAATCCACGTAATTCTATTGGATGGAGTGATATGAGTAAATAGATATAACTTAAATACCATTTAGATCATATTGTTGCTGCAAACTTATTATCATAGTTAAAATAATAAAAAAGTAATAATTATAATAATCACATTTAAAACAACTGAATTCTATGATTTGCCATCTTATTAAAAATGTGAAGAACTTCGTTCAGATCACCTGATTTTGTTCTTTTTTTTTCCAAGGGTCAGAAATACCATATCAGCCATTCTCTCGTGACCCATTGACATTCTTTGTGACCTTTTGATTGCAGTTAAAGTTGAAAACGTAGAATCTCTAGTTTATAAAGGGATTCCTCGTATCATAGATTGCAATATAAAATAGCCATATTGCAATCTATGATACGGGGAATTCCCTCTGCATCACAGATATTATAATTAAATAGATCCATCCCTTCACGTGATGGCGCTTCAAATGCCATCTATACACAGAACAAAGACTTATTATAATACGAAAAGAATGTCAAAAACTGTGGTACGTTCGGAATGTTAAGATCTCAAACTAAGAACAAACAATTTATTTATAATAATTTATCTTACTTATTTTTAAGGTAGGGCAATGTGATTTCAAGGTAGGGATTGCCCCACAATGCCCCCCCCCCTAGCTACGGCCGTGCATTCAGTTTATGACTAACTAGCTTTCCGCCAGCGGCTTCGCCCGCGTGGTCTTGTATTATACATAAAAACCTTCCTTTTGCATCACACTATCTATGAAAAAAAAAAAAAAAAAAAAAACCGTTGGGTAGTTTTAAAGACTTAAGCATGCATAGGGGTATACGGACAGAGAAAGCGACTTTGTTTTATACTATGTAGTGATATCGGTGAATTGTGTGGGTGAGTTAAGTCTACCATTCTTACGGCAGTCCAACCCACATTAGCTTATTGTCCTTCTTCCTTATTAATATCGAAACGTCAATCTTAAAATAATTACACCCTTATAGCAGTCGCGAGAAGACGAGCGATCGTTTAAGAAGAAATGAAGAAATGCGCTTCGAATGAGGTTTAAGGGTAAACAATAAAATAACAGTATTATTTAAAAAAATGTAATAAAATTGTGAAATACAGATTAAGTCATTTGAGGATAAAGTCGCTTCATATAATAATTTAATGTGTGCGTTGAATATTATTATTAATTTACAACAATAATATGAAAAACTACATACATTTTGATAATAATTTAATTGTCAAAGATTGAATATCTTTGAAATTTTTTACTTTTATTCGAGGGCGTCATAGAGTAAAAGAATTGTTGCATGATAAAGTGCATCAAACAAAATCTAGTATTACTTTTTTAAGTACAGAATGTTCATTAGGAATATTGATAACTTCTTACTATAAACATAAAATTATACCCAAACCATTAAATACACAAACATGTTTAATAGTAAAGATTTTTAAGTTTAAGAATAGTAATATTCAAACCAATTTAATCTTAAACTTATTATTCATATGCAATCTTGTATACATCCTTAGTGCACAAACACAGTGGGAATGGATTGATAATATAATTAAGTAGCTGTTCGCTTCGAGTTGGCCTCTCCCAGTCTTCCTGCTTCATTGCACTGCACGTCTCTATAGAACCTTTGAGTACCGTCAGCAATGCCATCACGGACGTATGGCGGTCGATAATAGCAATAGCTAGCTTCTGTTTTCTTTTTTTAATTTTCATTTTTGTTTTGTCGAGTCTAATAATTAAGCTGAGTAAAGAAACAATTATGATTTCTTTGTCGATAGTACCAGTTAATGTGCCTATGATTTCATTTAGTAAATGTCATCAACGGCCAACTCGAAGCGAATGACTTGAATATATGCTTAATGTTGACATAAATAGAAATAGAGCGAAAACGCATTTGGACGTTTACGTAATTATTCTGTGGTAAAGATGTTCACTGAAAAGTAGCATTTTATAAAAGGTAAACCTTTTAAAAAGGAAAATGGTTGAATGTTTGACGGTTTGGTAAGACAAATAGTCCTAACTAAAAAACTGAGTAGTGATATCAATTAAATGGTTAAATCAACAAAACTTTACCGAATGACTAGAAAGTTTTGTTATTATAACAAATGGCAATCTTAAAATATTTCATTAAAATTCTTATGACATAACTTTGTTCGTAACAAACCATATCACTTAGGTATAATATTCTTCTTTACAATAAATAATGAAACAAATTTAATAGTTGTAAAACTAAAAGAACAGAAACGATTACAAATATTAAGTAGCCAAACCAGAGAAGCCGCTTCAATCTTTGTCAAGTATAACACGGAATATATAAAATAAAAAATACTAATTTACAAAATTTCAGAAAGATTCATATTATAATTTTTGTAATGCCTATTTATTCCCATGTCACAAGGTCTATTTTAATAAATAAGTTATGGAATGATAAAATACTCAGTGCACTTATTAGAAAACTATTCTTAAGGACCATGATATGAAGTGATTACGTATGTGTATGTGTTCATATAAATTTTAAATAAATTATTAAAAATCTATGATAAAAAATACTACCTATTTTGTACGAAGAAATATTAATTGATAACCTGTTTGTTCATTAATAGAAAGTAATAAAAAAAGATTTGTGTGAGGGCAGATATCATTTATTTCTTTTTGTACTAAAAAAAAAACTTTTTCTATTATCCACGGGGGGCCGTCCATTAATCACGTGATGTATTTTTCAACTTTTTTTACCCCTCCTCCCCCTTAGTGATACATTCAGAGGTTTAAGACTACCCCCTCCCTCCTTCAACCAAATCACGTGTATTAAAAAAAAACAAAAATATCTTAATTTTTGATGTCACTTTTCGGTTTAATAATGATGGTTCGAGGAAAAAATAAATACACGTGATATATTACTACACCCCCCACACCCTTGTGATATTTCGTGATTTTGGACGAATCCCTCCCCCGCCCTCTTTTGAGCCTCACGTGATTAATGGACGGCCCCCGGCCAGATCCAATACGTAGGCACTTCATTTTCATGGTTAAACAGAAAATAATTAAACCTATCTTTGTACGTGAAGTAAAACGTTAATATGTAAAACAACTAAATACATTAAAAATTAATAAATGAATCAAACAACAATTGAAAATATTAATCTGCTGATGGTAGGTTGATTTTTCTAATGAGATTTTGTATCTTATTGTGCAAGCCTTAACGACGAACTTACATCAATCGTGTCATACTAAAGGATGGATATGGTAATTGACGGTTGATGTGGACTTCAACTTCTAATTACTAAGTAATCTAGAACTTTGTAAAGTGTCAAAAATTTTTTAAGAACATTATTTTTTTGTTTATTTAAAACTGACGAAGGATTATTTCAATACAAGATAATGTCAGTTATTTTCTTAAAAAGCAGCATTTATAATCATTATAGGTATATTTTGATAAGGTCTAGAACTTTATGTTTATTAAGCCGAAATAGGCTTTTTTTCCAAAGGTATTTCTAATACCATAAAAACCATGAGATGCTTAAACACAAGTAATAATTACTTGAATTTGAGATTCAGGTGTTAATATACTACCATGTAGTTTCATACTCTGGAGTTTGCCTTTAACATCAAAATAATTTTCTATATTTTACAGAATAATTGTATGTGTCACATAAAATTAGATAGAGTGTGCTAATATACAATGTTATATTGAAAACTGATTGATAACTTTAATTTGGAGAGATTACATACATTTATTTTAGCATGCTGCAGTAATATGTTTACAGAGTTTTCTAAAATACCAATAAATAATAACATGCAAATTTTATTTGTTGTGCCAAAACCACTTTGATTAAAATTGGGTCAATATGATCGTTACATACAGCAGTGCTATTCTGTTATCAAAATAGCCCCGCTTCAGCGCTGTAACGCCCCAATTCAGCGCTGCAACAGCAAAGAGGTTCATTCAAACAAAGCCTATTTTAAAGGATTTATTTCATCGAAGCTCTATGACGTGCCAGTGCTCGACTTCGAATCCCAGGTTGTTTTTAACAGCATAACATAGCAGTTACCCAATAGGCAACCTTAATATGTATTAAAAACTAAACAAACACTATACCATATTTATTTCAATATATAAATAAATAAATAAAATAATCACTGAATTTGTTGTTGTTAGCTTTTAAAGCCTCAGAATTCTATCGCTCGGTGGCGCATATAGACGTCAATTAACTAATGTCATTGATTTTTTCGTTGAATAATTACCTTTATTTCTATCGTGTTAAGTACTATATGTTTTTCTCAACGACGTCTCTTAGTGCGACAATTAGTGAAATAAAACATAGTTAATACCAATACATTTATGCATTACTGCTCTCCAATTCCACACCAGTGACTGTGGTACTGAGATTGCCGTTGAGGAGGATGTCCTGTAACGGTTGCCCCAATACGCTGGACAGGGAATCACTAAGTTTGTAGTAATTAGTTTCTAGGGCTTCATGGTATGTCATCTGGTCGGGACCGATCAGCTTAGCGTTCAGTTGTAACGCCGAGTGGCATACTGTGAGGAACTCTCTGTAATAACGTGAACGATAACATATGTTGTATTAGTGAATATTGAATTTGTGTATTCCCTTGTAATAAAGTTTATTATCATACAAATGGCCATATCTACTATTAAAATATTCTTTGTTAACAAAATCTGTAAATAACTTAAAAATTACTATGTTGCCAGGACAATGGAAAAGAATAAAATTCAATAATAACTGCGCTTTTTTAAATTAACATTTTTATTTATATTATGGCAACATTCGCCATCTTGACGTTGCTTGTTTCTTTTTTCTTAGTTAGTAGGAAATGGTTATTAGATTAATTTATTGTGTGGTCAACAAAATCTTTATTTCTTTTATATTTGCAATTTACCAGTCATACCAGATTAAATTGGTGTACTCACTTGAACGTAGTCTTTAGTTTATCCACTAAATCGTCTGGATACATGTGAGATAAAGCAGGGTCTAGGAAAGCGTCAGCGTACTCCTGTGGCCCAGCGTTTACTTGCACGCAAATACTTCCTTGTAACCTGACACAGAGATTTTATTTTAGCATATTTATTTTTAATTGCAAGTAAACATATTAATGCTTATAGATTAAAATATTAAAGAAATATTTCAATGAAAAAACGTGCAGAAGTCTAGCATTAGAAAATAGTGTTGATGATTCATATTAGATATGTTTTGTGAACTGTCCTTCCTTCTCAAGACTTATATCCACTTCATACCTGCTGCTTCTCTTTACTATAGATATTGTTCCACAATACAAAGTTTGTATACATTTTTGATCCGGCGTTCAGGCCTGGTTTTACGATATTTCTAACCGGGGCAGAAAATTAATAAGGCGCCCTTCCTCTACTCCCCCCCCCCCATACGCTCCATTAAGCCGGATTTTATATTAATTATAATGTTTTTCTTTTATTTCATTAAGGGATTTTGAAGCATGTCCATCCCATCGTAGTCTGTATATGTAAGAAGAAATTTGTAAAACTCGTTGTATAATTTTAACGCCCGGAACAAATGCCTCCATTTACTCCCCTTTGATCTGAGCCTGCTGGCGTTGTCAGAACAATAAATATAAAGACAAATTTTTGTCAACTAAATTTATTAGTATGTATTGAAAAATCGGCCTCATACATATAAAAGAAGTCTTTTGGCGAAATACGTTTCACATGTAAGAGAATGGAACAGATACCTTATAATAAAACAATCTTATTTTTTTTTACCTAAGTTGTAACTTCTTAATGTCGGGTACTTTGGCGTTGACGATCTCCGCGAGCTCGGCGACCTGGCTCTCCATCTCAGCCACGGCCACTTCAATGGGACGCTTCTCTTCTACTTGAGTATCTACTACTGGTACGCGGCGTTTCACATACGGGAACCAGTTTTCAGCTAATTGAAATTATTAAAAGCATAAATTTTATTACCATGGTTGTAAACTTACATTTTGGATCAAATTAAAGTTGATTTTAAGTTTTTGTTGAACAAATTAAATTGAAGTCCGCCGGAAACGTCGGAACAAAATCCGTCGCGTTAACTAACGTCAAAACAGACAAATCTAATATATACAATTATCAAGTCGCAGTTTAGTTATATGATAACTTTTCCGAAACGACTTGACCGATTTTGATGAAATTTTATATGTATGTATATTCTGCAAGTCTGAGAGTGAGAATAAATCAGATGAGCGGCCAATGCGAAAGTTGCTTAGTAGCCGTATCTCAGACCGAACGCGCTAGCCACTGCATCATCGAGCTCATTCATTGATCATATTATCGAATATTTTTGTTCCAATTAGTAACATGTTAGCTTGTCTGTCAAATGAAAGATATTATAACCTCAACATTGTTTAGTCTACTTTTGGGCATAGAATCGTGTAACCGTATGTATCTAAACATATGTTACGATATTATTTCTCTTTATCAATCTAAACTACTATAGGGTTAGAAAATAGTTCTTTATCTGTTAATAGAGTGCAAATCGCATTTGGTCGGTTTTTATTATGAATTTAAATTAAAAACCAGTTTTCCGTCAGCGGCTTCGCCCGCGTGACCCCTAGGGAACTTTTTATATATCGATTCATATCGGCAAATTGAATAATAATAATGGTTACAATGGCAAAGCTCCCATTCCCTATTCAAACTTCCATCCCCATTTTAATACCTTTATTTGCTGTTTTTCGGGATTAAATATAGTCTGTTCACCGCATATGATCTAGCTTCCCGTAGGTGAAAGAATTTTTAAAATCGGTCCAGTAATTTCGGAGCCCATTCGTTACAAGCAAGCAAATCTTTCCTGTTTATAATATTAGTATAGAATACTTGGGAACATAAACGATCAACTAGCAGACCATAGATGAGATGGAAGAATGACATCTAAGAAGTGGCGGGTCAAAATTGGATTTTAACAGCCCAAAATAGGAAAAAGCGTCTACACGAAACTGTTTGAGGAAGGCTCGAGATGATGATAGATTACCTGTGAGATGAGTCAGCCGTAACCTCTGTTTATGCACTGGACCTCTAGCTGCGCCATCGCTTGTGAACGGAGTCTCGAAAACGAACCGGCGCACGTTGTGCACACGCTCGAAGCAACCCTCGCCGGACACGGTGACGGCAACGCCTTCCGGCGCCGGACGCACCCACGTCACTTGGATGTACGCCAGTTTGGCGTCTAGTTCGTCGCGATTGACCTGGTAGATCCACAAGAGATTATAACAACTAATAACAAATACTATTAAACTTTTTATTCAATTCTGAACTTAACTATCAAGCAAATCCTATGTTAATAATACAATATGTTAATAATAACCTGACATGCTATCGACTATAAATAATCTTAATGCCATTAGTAATTCTATCCGTAACAAGAGTTGTGTAGAAGAGCTTAATAGGCGGTGAAATCAACAGAACGAACACAACACTTATATGATACTAAATTTGCTATTAAATTGAAAAATATCTTGGATTTAAATTCCGTCTTTTTACTGTGTTAAAGATTTATTTATTTATTTATTTAATCTTTATGCCTATAACATAGCAATGGCGGACTTAATGCCAAAAAGGCATTCTCTACCAGTCAAATCGGTGAAGGTGTACAGAGCATTCAAAAGGCTAGGTATCACTAAAAGAACAAAGTTACAATTTATAACTAATAATACCAACAAATTATATATAAAATACAAATATATACATACACACTATAATCTTATTGTAATTGGGATTTATTGGGATTTATCTGTAATTGGGAACCCTATTACGATCACGATCTTTCTGCCAAAATTTATACGTATATAATTTTTTTACATTATTCAAGCATGCCTTGTTAAATTAACATAATCGTTAAATATATACTATATATAATAACGCTTCCATGAATAATGTAAACCATACGACATTCTTAAATACAGATATTACTCTACAAAATAACTTTATGTTAATGTGTTTGAACATTGAAGTTATATTTATTTCAAAGACAAAGAATAAATACTGACTTATATGTCACAAGATACATTCAATCATTTTTTAAATTCATACACCACCTCTTACAAGACAATGGCGTCAATTCTGTTGTATCACGCTTTAAGTGGAAAATCTTTAATTTGAATTCGTTACAGATAACGTTATTCTGTTGTTGTCAACTGGAATTTAATGAGTGCCTAATGATTGCGATGCTTTCGCCGTTTACGTCGTTATGTAACGTGACGTCACACGACGTCATCCACAGACTATAATACGCAAGTTAATTTTTAAAAAATAAAATATACTTACAATTTATTTTAAAACGAAATCTGATAAGTTTTTCATATTTCCACCATATTTCATAATTTATTGGTATAACAACTGTCAAGTAGTCAATTATACTGCCAGATGAGATATTAAATTGTTTCAGTTATATAAAACAGTTTGACAGGATTACAACTAAATTTAGTTTAGTTTGTGCAGCAGAATTGTAACCTACATCAGAATAAATCTATAATATATTTTGTTTGTAAGAGGCGGAGTTCACCTAAACAGCTGCAAGAAATACTTTTTAAACTATCAATTAAATTTAAAATGTGTTCCAATTATATATATTGCAGCATTTTTTTATATAGCACTAGCCATTTTACTGCAACTTTGCGTAAAGTTTAGCATATACCATTCGCGTATTATATAACTATCCTTCTGTGAAAGAATTTTCATAATAGGATCAGTATTTCCGAAGATTATCCCCTACAAAATAAACAAACAAAGTCAGAAACTTTACCTTTTAATAATCTAATCTCCTAAATATATAACTCAAACGTGACTGACTGACATAATGATCTATCAACGCACAGCCCAAACCACTGGACTGGCCCAAATCACTGGACCTTTGGCATGCAGGTACATGTTATGACGTAAGCATCCGCTAAGAAAGGATTTTGATCAATTCTAGCCCCAAGGGGATAAAATAGGGGATGAAAGTTTGTATGAAACTTTTGTCAATTTTAAATCAATCGGGTCGAGACTTTGCATGCATAAAGCTACTATGACGCAGGCATTCCCTAAGAAAGAATTTTGATAAAATCCACCTTTATTTCAGGTATTTTACACAATGAATAAATATTCGTGGACGAAGTCGCGGGCAAAAACTAGTATAGTATATAATGTGAATTTGATTGAATGTAATGTAATAACTACAAGATCAGTTCGAAAAGAGTCACGTATAGCGAGAGGTCGCAATCTCCTATATATAAAGGCAAGATTGAATTTAAAAATTCGTTTTTGTATTAAATATTTAATCTTCCCGTAACCAATCGATGGTTATTTTCATTATTCAGTTCCATTGATATAGTCGGATATCTAAGTTATTATTGAACGGTAAGCAGATCAAGGTTGGTAGAATTAATCAAGATTTAAGGCTGGTATTAATCGTAACAATTACTTTTTTTTATTTCGACTCTGTCACTGCTTTTACTGGTAATGAATTGATTCATGAATCCTTAATGGGCGAGACATCGGTTCTACGTAGGTACTGACTTCGTATTATATAAGATTGTGAGTAATGTGTAACTAAAAAGTTTTTATTCTTAATGGATAATGGTCAAAAATCCACTTTGTCTTTGGTACTCCCATCTCATCTCAGAGTACCCGGGCAAAGTCGATTTTTCAAGCATTTTCATTAAGTATATTTTACAGTAAAGCTTTGTGAATGCAAAATTGATCAAATATAATAAAAAGATTTCATTTTGATAAAAAGTTTTTGTTGAATATTATTTAGGAACAAAATCTTTGTCAAATCAAACGAGCCTATACGCGATGGGGTTGTTTCACTTAATCAAAGAGGTCCCACGACTACCGGCTCCCATCATCAGATCGGCTCCATGCCATATTAATATTGCATTGTATCTGTGACACACCAGTTTGTACACAAATAAAAATATGGTCGATATTTTCATTAACTTGGGACGATGTAATGTTTCTAATGAATGTTTATACATCAATACGAGTACTCCGTAGCCGAGTGGTTCGATTCCCGGTCGGGTCACTGTAGAAAATGTCTTGGAGTCTACGTATTGAAGTACCTTCGTTGTCTCAGACACTACATAATACTCATCTTAGAATCAGAGCAATGTATGTGATGTTGTCTATTATTTATATCCGTTAAGTCCTTCAAAAGCTATGGTGGAATAACGACAAACGTGAATCTGTATTCTAATCCTAAACACAATACACTACTTTTTTGGGTAGTTGTGTAATAAATGGTAAATAACAGTAGCAACTAACCGGAGCTGAATCCATGATCATTTTCACGTGACCTACACCAAATTTCTGTTCATAGAAGTTTTGCAATTTCTCCGAAATTTCACTCAGCGATGTCAATTTCGGCTCCTTGTATATGAACTCCACACCTTCTTCATCTTCACCGAAGTGCGATTTACCAAAGAAGGCGACCCGGTAGAATCGGCCTAGTAACCTTTTTCCAGAGTTGTTGACTTCTATGACTTTGGCATACGCTTTAGTTAGGTGTTGGTAGCAAGTGAGCAAAGCCTGGTAGTCCTTCCGACGTTCATAAATCGGTATAATCAGCCTATACAGAGGCCCTAGGAGTTCATACCTTTCTGCTTTGTCTACGTACTCAGCGCATACCATCAGTTGTTCAAGTAGCGCTTGTTCATTGTACTGCACATCAGTCATACCTGGAACAATAGAGAACAAATACCATTAGAAACTCATTGGTCCTCTGAATAGGTACGAAGTAATGACAACTACATTAAAATTAAGACTTTTAGCTTAGATTGTGACTCAAAAGTAGGTTATTATCACTACTAAGCACAACACATTATCTAAATTACGCAAAAACCTTGTCGTTAGATGTAATGTCCTAATATCATTATCGATTTATTCTAAATACAATGGTAGCATTTTTGTTACACGAATAAATTAGAGTCTTGTTAAATTACGTGTCCAATTAATTAACTAAGATCACTAAGTAAATTTAAAACATACAAGAGTATAATTAGGTTTTTTATGATATGTGACTAAGGAATAAGTTACATATAATAAAAAAAAACCTAATTATGCTTACTCTGTGATCTTAATATATACTTTAAAATTTTCAGTTTAGTTTAGAGAGTGGTACAACAAAATCGGCACCAATGACAATTGTCTATTTTTATTTAGATATTCCAGTATCACTCGATATACTAGTATTTCTCGTGTTTTTAATATAATCTATTCAAAACTGCTTGTACGAATTAATTTTCCTTATATATCTACAAGGTAACACAATATATAAACAGCCCATTTTAAAGTTATACCAATTTCAACGATCAAATATGCCACCGAGGAAGCTATACGATCCAGACCCTCGTGCAATTTTCCTACGTATTATATTATCTCTGTATAAACGTAGCAGAGCCTCTCCTCATCGCAGTCGAAATCAGCCCACGCACGCGCATAGTGTCGTCGATCGAGCGGCTGTGCGGCGGGAAATTTGAATTTCGATTCATTATAAAATGTTGATAGTTCGCCTTTTTGCTGTGTCGATTCTATGGGGTTTCGTGGTTATCGGTCAATTGGTGGTGCCGGCGAACAGCCTTACGGACCGGACCCTGCTGGGAACGGATGTGGTCCTCGCCTTTGTGGTACGTTGTTGGCGATGTTAATTTTCGCTATTGATACGGTCACGCTCGGCTTGCGTGTGCACACTTCCTATGTGAATCGCGAAACATATTATTGAATAAGTATCGCAGTACAACCTATTTTGGTAAAATATTGCAAAATTTCTCCACGATCAGCAGAATTAGCAAATATTTTATACCTGTTATTGTTATTCATCGAATATGTTTTGATAACATAATTATTTAAAGGCAATTTATACTGCATTAGAGTAATTATTTAGCTCAATAAAATTATGTTTGCGTTAACCACTTCAAATGGCATGCAATATACTTAGTATAACTATTATCACCATCATAAAATTGGTATAGAGATAATGGATAAAGAAAAAAAATCTAAATTAAACTTAATAATACTTAGCGTTAATAAACAGTTATCTTAACAACATTATAAATATTTACAAATTTTTAAATAATTACAATTATTAAAAGGTATGGTTTTAATTTAATGTCAAGGTTTATTGAATGTTTTCCCGCGACTTTGTCCCGTGAGTGAAAGAATATTAAAATAAGTGCAGTAGCTTCAAAGTCAATTTAATTCAAATATCCAATCAAATCTTTCTACTGTATAATATAGGTATGGTACTGATTATCAATCAATCAAAACACAGCCCGTTTTTTTTTTCGAGAAATAATACAAATTTATCGTAAAATTTTCCCATTTTAAAAATATAATTTAAAAACTACAAAGGCTACATTCAAGAAACTTCTTTTAATTGGGGTTTGGATTTTATGGATTTTTTTCCATCGGTTCGCAACTTATCGTGAAACATTCAGTGTAATTGTGAAATTCTTACCATTTTGTAGTTTACGAAAAAAAAAAGCCAGATCGGCCCAACCGCTTAACCGGCTTTAAATCTAAAAGAGGGTTCTATGTTCAATGGGTATGTATATTTTTATGTATGTTCACCGATTGCTACGTGAATTGGGGAGCAATTTTCAACATTTTCATTTAATTATTAACAAAAGCTGCCTAGTAATTTTTTTCTCGATGACATATTTATATCATAGAATAAAAGAAAGATAGAGAATTTAAAGGATAACATCTTTAAATTTTCCTGATTTTTCTAACATCGAATTTTTCTATATTACTAAAAATAATAATTAAAAAAAATGAAAATACAAATCAAACTGACTTCAAAAACTTGAAAAATTATATGCCCTACTCATCTTAAATGTGGTTCATATGTTTATAAAATTTATATTAAAGCCGGGCGGGCGGTTAATATTACATAACAACCTGCACAAAAACCTCCGCCAAAGTCAAAATAATCTTTATTCAAATAGACTTCTTAAAAGTACTTTTGAATCGTCCATTTCCCTACCGCTCGTTCGGGACGTCTTTTGGCTGATAAGACGAACAAGCAAGAAACTTACCAGCTCTAATAGGAGTAATGACATTTACAAAAAACATGTCATTACCAGATCAATACATTATAAATAAAGAGAGAGAAAAAAAAAAAACTATGGTCTTATAATTATAACATAATCATTTAATAATAATGGAAGCGAGATAATTTTTTATATATAATGAGTTAAGAAGTAAAGCCTTATCCAGTTGCTGGATCATCTCAAGTCCAAGTAATCTTATCTGTTATATAATCGGACTTCAGTTTGAGTTTCATAAATTCGCCCGACTTCAGTTTCATAAATTTATGAATCGCAAATTTTTCACTATTCCGAAGTCGATTTAATTGTTTTCAATTTTTTTTAAACAGATTTAGTATGTTTTTTTTTGATTTTGATAGATATTTCGACACGGCGATCGAACACCTGATCTAGAAGAACTGGCGCTGTACACGACTGAGGAAAAATATAAAAACGTTTTCTTTCCTTACGGAACTAAGGCGTTAACTAATGTAAGTAAATAGAAATGTTGAATACTCTATTTATCTAGGATAAACATAACGCTATGACTTGGAGTGGAGCAGCAATGAAAAACGTTACAAAAACGGGAGAATATTTTACTTTTTGAGAGCTTTCCTTGCGTGCGCTGCGTAAACGGTGAAAGTTACGCAAAACTCATATATTACGAACGAACACTTCATCAAAATATTTAGGCAATATCTGATGAAAAGCATATTTTGTTTAGTTATAAAGAGAAAAATATTGATTCGAATTCGATAAAATTTTATTACGAAGTCGAATAAAATTTTGACAATCGATTCATAATTGGTGGGTAATCACGTAACAAACACAAAAAAAATATATACAGTGGAATTGTAAACCTCCTTCTTTTTTTTGAAGGCGTTTAAAACAAGCAACTAAAATAAAGAAGTAACAGAGTAAAATAATAAATAGGGCGAAAAACATACTGAGTGGATGAAAATAGATTCGTTCAATACCTACAAATTGAAGAGATGGCAGAATATCCGTTGACAAAATTTAATTACGCGTATTAAAATTTTTGAAAATGCTGATTTGAGAAAGCAAGAACAAGCAGACCGTGAAGTTGCTTTGAGGATCAGTCACAGAATCTTCTACAAACAAAGCATCAGGTTGTTTTACGCTCTTAAAATGAAAGCCCTTATCTGAACGTTCAGAATAAGTACAGTAATGGCGGCATTATTATTATACGATTTCAATAAAAGGAATATTTTATGAAAATAAACATTTATTGCAATGCAGGGATCAACTGGACTATTCTATAAAGATCTCCATAATTGGTTCCATTTCTGCCGAGAAGTCGATAAGAATATACCTTTTATAATATCACATTTTTTATATTTGTAGATAATGTCTTCTGTTACAAACGATACCGGAAACATAAAATATGTGGGTAACACAATAGAGCACTCAGACAGTATTTTTAGAAATTCAATCCCTAAGGCGGTGAAATACGGGAGTGAAGTTTATATGGATTTTTTTATTTCTGGACTTACCCGTTTTCTGAATTGAGTATTTAAAATTAAGCGCGTCTCATACTGCATTTAAACGTTATTTAAATACGAGTAGGTTTTCGTTATTTTATAGAATGGCAGCATGTATATATCATACAATATAATTTACATAATTACAGAATGTAATCTAGATGGTATTGGGCCTTCTAAAGAGCATTTCAGAATGCACAAAAACCAAGTCCCGATTTCTCCATAATATGTGATATAATCATGTCCTTTTTTACCATTCCGCGCACTCTTAACACAAATGGTGAAATTTGTTTATTACTAGCTGTTTTCGCGCGAGGTTGCCCGCGTAAATAATAGGCTATTATAATCGCGAATGATGAAGCTTCCCATAGGTGTAAGAATTTTCATGATCTGATCAATATTTCCGAAGATTACTCCTAAAAAATAAACAAATAAACTTCACTACCTTATAATATACCTATATAGGTTAAGGTGGTGTCTAGAATTCAAATGAAGAGTTTTTATTTGGTATCAAAATATAATTTCCCAGTATTTCACAGAAAGGCAAGCAGCGCGGGTTTCTTGTAGGGCGATACTTGAGGCAACGTTACGACGGGTTAATATCCCGGCTGTACCTTCCCGACGAGATAACAACAAGGACCACAGACTATGCCCGTACAAAGATGACAGCGCTGACTGCCCTGGCTGCGCTATATCCGCCACTGCCCGCGCAGCAATGGAATCCAAGCCTGGATTGGCAGCCGATACCCTATTATACAGAAAGTAGTGATACGGATGATGTGAGTGGAGATGATTATATTATTTAAAAACTCCGTTGATGTTTTAAATTATTTTTATCTAAATAGGATGATTGATGAAGAAGAAAATATTAATTAAAAAAAAAACCGCGTTTAAATAAGGATTAAGAATGGATAATTTTTTTTTTAATCCATCAGTCAGATAATATAAATATACATATTTGATACAATTTTTTTATAATTTCAACTTAACAAGAAATAGCTTATATAACAGACATTTGAGGAGTGGGGGTTGGCTCAGTCACAGTTTTGTAGAAAATGTACCATAACGTGACAGACATTAAAGTTGAGGAGTATGGGCTGGCTCAGTCACAGTTTTGTAGAAAATGTACCATAACGTGTCGTCATGTGACATTTTAACTAAATGTATCGCCGTAATTTAATAATTACGAAAAAAACACGTGTTTAATTTTTCTCAACAATCTAATTGACGAACAAAAAACAAAAAGAGTCGTCATCCCTATCATGTGTTCCCATTTTTTGTTCTTTACAGTTACTATATTGGTATAATTGTCCTCGGTACCTGAAATTAAGGAATCAGATCTACAAATATCCGGAAATGAAAGCCTTAATTCAGCCATATCAAAAACTTTTTCCATATTTATCGGAGAAGACAGGTAATAATATCACGACACCTGAAGACGTTTTCTTTTTAGACAACCTTTTCCAGGCATTGGTAAGTACAAGAATTTGAAAGTGACGAATCTTTTGACAAAGAAATTTAGGCAGTAAAGTGGGATACATAAAATATTATTAAAACATTTATACAAAAAATATTTTTTGTAAAACATAAATTGGATAGTTTATATGTCTCATATTCAAAGCTTTTAACTTTCTAATCGTAGATATTAAATTCTCCATGTTTCTGTTATTAGAAAAAAAAAAACTTTTAATAACATTTTTTACTGGTGTTGTATTCCGTTGTATATACGATGTAATTAAATATTTGTTGTCCAACGATTTTTAGGAGAATGTAGGCATTAAAACACCAAAATGGGCTGAAGATGTGATGCCGCAAATAAAAGAAATGACGAAAATCGAATACGCAGCAGAATTCTTTACACCGGAACTGACGAAGTTAGCTTCAGGTAACGTTTTTAAAAACATTGTGAAATTAAAAATGAATGTTACATTTCGTGCCTAGAGTTATTACTTATTTACAACTCTTACGTAATAATGTATATCATTCTAATTCAACTAGGTAATTTAAGGCGTTTGTATTTTTTTTTGCTTTATTATCTAGTTTTCTTTTGTATGATAATTTTGTCTATATTTTAGTTTTTTCATCGCACTATACAATATTTAATTTTAATTACAGTAGGTACCTACTTTTTATAAAATCTTATTCCGTGAATTTAAGATTTTATGTACCATGTTTATCAAAACGAAAAGCATAATATACAATGCATTACTGCATGTCCCGCCTCCCCGGCGTAGTTCAGCGAGGTTAACTGCGACCTTAATATACATTTTATATTAAAAGACTTTTACGTGTCTGGTTAAATAGGAGTCATGATGAGCGAAATTCTGAACGCGAGTAATGAAGCTATAGCTGGGGCCGACGATCAACCCAAATTGAGGCTGTACTCCGCCCATGAGAACAACGTTGCGGCACTTATGTCCGCTGCTAGGGTCTTTAAAGCCCATCAGCCGAACTACGGCGCCACATTCGCATTGGAGCTGAGGCGGTTCAAGTCTACAGGAAAATACGGAATTGCAGTACGTACAGTCGTATATATTATTATATAATAATAAAATCAAACTACCGGCCGCTCTGTCACGTAATTGAAGCCTTGATTGTTCTGACAAAATGAAGCCATGTCTGACAGAGATAACTGTCAGCAGACCATTGATCTGATTGGTCTGGAAATCGCGAGGTCTACCCTGTTTTTGTTTAAGTACACAATCTAATTACCAAATAAGATTGTGAACTTTAATTTTCCTTGACGTATAAACTGAATTCCAATGTCATAATGTTCCAGAAGTTTATATCGACGAAGTAACATGGGATAGAGCTGCAGCTCTAGAGATTCCTTATTATATGAGAACATCTTTCTGGGACATTCAGACTGCCAACATTCTTATTTTTTTGGACACATTGATAGTATCCATAAATTTAAATTTATATACAGTTATAAAAATAGTCACGAATAATTAAACCATCATCATCAAAACTCCTTTATAGACTTAACAAAGATATAATTCGTCTAATAAGTTCACCAACCTTCCCCCATAAAAGTAAAATAACTTCAATTCTTTTGCTCGACTCTGGTGTGAAATAATCATAGATTCTTTTAATTTTGTTTTATCGAACCGGTTAATGCATCTGTATCTATTTTGGCCACTATTGCCGCGGTTTCGAGACATCGTAATACATTGACATGATAATAAGATAAAAATAAAAGAAAAAGTCGCAGAAGTCACGTCTGGTGTAAATTATTATATATTTTTAGAAAAAGCCTAATATTATACGGAAGATCTTAATCTAGCTAGATCTCCTTGAAATTTTGCTATTATTTTGCTACTGAATGAAACCAATAGATAACTGATATTGAAAGTATTTCGTTAGCTCGACATTCTATTCGCATTTTATATTTATTATATGTTGTTAAATATTGCTTTTAAAATTATCTATACTCTGTAACATAATCTGTGTAGAAAAGAATAAAGTTAACCTTGAACAGAAACCACGGTCTGCTAAGTTTGTCTACTTTCTTTACACTTCAACTAGTACAATGGCGAGTTAACTGATTTCTCTGAGGAATTAAGTTCTTATTGCCTTTGACCCCAGAAAAACTTTCCCGGCCAGAGGCTCAGACAAGTATATCAAGCAGATAATTAGCCAATGCATATTTTCCACAGGCCGTATATGCCCGTACCGCTGGTGGTCCACCCGAGCTGCTACCAATACAGGGTTGCAACGACCAGCTCATATGCGACTACGACACCTTCGTCGCGCTCATGCAAGATATCGTTTGGCCTCATCACGAATTCAGAAAACAGTGTCCGAAAAAAGTGTGATTCGAACTAGTCCAATTTGTTTTAAATATGTGATAGTAGAATAAGAGACTAAGTTATTATAAATTATGTATAATAAAAAAAACAATGCGTGCAGTATAGTTTTATTTTTTCCCATTGGAATACTCGAAGGGTGTTTTTTATAATAGTATCGTGAATTAAAGGCTTGTAAGTCAGTACATATAATAATTTCAATGGTAGGTATATATATGATACCTATACGATTCAAACTGATTAATGCTAGAAATTATTAGGTAAATAACTGCAATTTAAATTCTATAGGTAGCAGTTTTACTTGTATAAGAATAATTATGTATAATGGTGGGATTATAATCACAAATCAATAGCAATATATTTTTCCTCATGTTTCGGAATCCATTGATTGTATCCTTTTTTAGGGTTCACTCTACATTCACTAAGACTGCACTGACTGTCTGTTACCAGGCTGTATCTCATCAACCGTGAAAGTTAGACCGCTGAAATTTTCACAGACGATGTATTTATGTTGCTGCATCAGCAACAAATACTGAAAACCAGAATAAAATAAGTATTAGGTCCTTAGGTACATATGAAATTGGTGTCTGGCATGGGAGGAACGAAAAGTCGGATATTTTTTAATATAATATATTTATTTATTCAAAGTATAAACCATTGTTATCTATGCACTTTTGCCATCTCATAGGTAGTTCATTGATCCCCTTATTAAAAAACTATTCGGGCGGAAATCAATAAAATCTTTGAAGGCGATTTGTACTGCCCCATCGTTAACAATTTCAAGATTTCCACATTTTATACTGACGTAATAGAACAAACAGAAGAAAAAACAAACAAATTAATGCTGCCTAACGAAACACAAATACATGTGTAAATGGCTGTATGAATTTGAATTTGGAATTCCCAACCAAGGAGGAGAAATTTGTGATTAAAAGTGGTCAGTACGACAAAACGCCAATTTCATATGTAAGGACCTAATTCTAAGTGTGCTCCCATACAACAAACGTGATTTTTTTTTGCTGTCACCAGGCTGTATCTCACGTACCGTGATAGTTAGACAGTTGAAATCTTCACAGATAATGTATATATTTCCTTCGTCGCTATAATAAAAAATACTAAAAAATAGAATAATATAAATATTCAAGGGGGCAACCGTGATTTTTTTGCCGATACCAGGCCGTATCTTACTGTTAGATGGTTGAAACTTACACAGATGATGTATTTATGTTGCCGCTATGACAACAAATAGTAAAAAATAGAATAAACTAATGGCTTCTGTACAACAAAACATGTTTTTGCGTGCACGAGTCCGATTCGCACTTGCCCGGTTTTTATTGTAAACTATTTTATTCGAATTAATTCTTCACAATCAGGATTTTGTCTATGATCTAATGTTTTCTATAGGTACATTCCGAAAAACTATTTTTAGTTACAACGATAAATATTTTGATGGATACGACTAATATGGATAGTTATTGGAGTCATTTAGTTAGCGCTTTATTCCAAACTGGTGAATGAAATTAGCCATCGTTTAAAGTTCATATCGTTTGCGTTTGAAAGTTTTGATAATAAAAAAATTCAGGATACACAAAAATACCCAATTTTGCTTATTGTTTCTCGTTTTACGTTGACAAAAATTGCTATAGTATAAAACGTTTAAATTTCATCTTTTTTTATAATAATGTTACTTACGTTACTAAGAATGTTTCAATTTAATAAATAACCTCTAGATACTATTACTGTTGTGCCCTTGTTAGGCGTCACTATGCCCTTCAGATGAACACGTTAAATTCATATTCCATCTTCAATCTATAACGCGACGCTTTATAAAGATTTTGAAGAAATGTATATAGGGCAACCTCTGTCAGCTTTTTTATAATAAATACAAAAAAGACCACAAACCTGTTTCCTATCTATACCTAGAACTTTGTTTTATAGTAGGAAATATTGCTACTATTGATATACTACTCGAACTGAAAATTTGAACCAAGAGATTCATGAACATCATACTAGCAGTCAAACAATCAACGTTTGAAACGTACCTAAATTATTCAGACGTACCTAGTTCCATTTTATCACGTTTATAGATTTTTGGTGAAATAGAATTACCTAACGGCAATTGGGTCGGTGACCCTAAGTAGATAACGAAGTCAGTTTACCGGACACCCTGATTATGCTACGTGACTCATTGAACATCACACCACCATCACAATATCATCAGATCATATCAAACCGAGAGGTTATCCAGAATGCTTTTGATGTAACATACGATTTTATCCGTGCCGGAATTGGAGATTTGATTCGAACGAAATTATTTCTTTATTCTCTCTCATTAAGGGGCTTATTTATAGTAAGGATTTATTAAGCTTAAAATAAAACTTGACAATTTAAAATAATATGGAATAATGGACATATTTCTACGCTCTTTTTCGAAAATTTTTATTAAGTTTTGAAGTATGTATGAGTGTCACGTTTTGACTCAATTTGAAAAAGTTTACAATTTTTATTTGATTTTCATATAATATAGTGATATTTAGCCGATTAATGCTATTATGACTAGAAACATTGAGTGTAAAATAAAGATAGAAAAGGGTCTAATAGCATTTTTATTTTGGATAGTAAAATTGGCACTTATACCAACACGTTATAATTTTTACTTTGCTTAGTTTATAACTGTTAAGAATGTATTGTTGAAGAAGGAACAGACTTGTGTGAGTAACTCCATAAAAAGGGTAATTTCAAAGATAGACATCTAACAAATAATCATTCCAGTTCATATGCAGAATTAAATACATATGCAAATATACAAGACAAATAATTACGTTAGATTAGATAATCATAAATAAACACTTGTGTTCTCGTATAACTCAAGGAGACAACCTGTTACAGCTCTCTGTGTGCCAATGTTAATGAAATAGAAAGTACGACACTTACATTCTAATCGCAAAAAATCTTTAACTAGTTCTTTTAAATTACTGTTGGGGTGTTGCTCAGCAGGAGTTTATCAAGTAAGTAAATGTCGCATACATCAGTATGTATTATTATTATGTAGGTACATTTACCTACAGAACATTTAAAATAGATCTAATTAGAAAGAATACACAATATCTCTCATCTGTATATTGAGGTATGACATTTGAAACTGCGATTGAACAAGGATAGAAATATACTATACTGGTGACGTCAAAGTTTATAAGCTGTAAACTACGTATGGGAACAACAAAGAAAAAAGTATCCACACTCTTGCATACTCAATGAAAGACAAAAATACTAAAATTATTTATTTTATTAAAAAATATTATGACGCGGCCACGTTTTAATATTAAAAAATCTATAAAATGTGTCAGGTTTTATCGCATCTATGGTTAGTTTTAAAAATTTGTCATACATTACTATAGCGGTCATAGCATCTAGTTATTAAACTCAAGACATTTGAATATGTAATTTTTTATACTGTAAAGCACGGTGTTTAGACAGCAAGCGAGACATAAGAGAATTAAAACTGTTGATAAGATTTATAAAGTATTTTATCGACATTACGCGTTGCTACTACATACACAATCTATTTTATTATATAGGTACTACTGCACTTTAAGGATTGGTGCGACCATCTCTAGCTCCAACTCTAGTCATAAGATACGGCGATCATCACCAGCCCTTTTACGTCCCCACTGCAGGGGCTCAGGCCTTCCTTATGGATGGTTAAGGAGGATGGGCCACGACCCTCCACGCCGGCCCAGTGAGGATTGGAGGGTATTAACGACTGCAAATGCAACCGGGACCACCGGCTTAACGTGCCTTCCGAAGCACGGAGTAGCTCAAGATAATAATTTTTTGGTCACCCATCCCCTGACCGACCCTTGCGAAAGTTGCTTAACGACTACGATCGCGGACCGCGGCGCTTATCCACTACGCCACCGAGCTACTACGAGCTACTACTACGGATACGGCGATGTTATGACTATATTTAGTTTAATTTTATGACTTTGACATTTTCTTTAACAACAAACAAATAGTTATGATTATGGATTACCGACTTAGTCGTTTATCGAGTGAAAGACCAAAAAGGCATGAGAATGTAGTAAAATGAAACGAAATAGCTCTATAATATCGCTACGATGTCGTAACCTATGGCTAGAGTTATAACTAGAATAGTTAGACGCTCGGTCTTCTGGTTGTAGTTTGAAGTTTGAGCGGTTGCAGCTTGAAATACACAATTTTAGAGCATAAATTATAAAATTAACGGAAAGTTGGGTGATAATCTTTGAGATATCTGGTGTCCTTTAAAAATACGTGTTCTACAATAAAAGTAAACGAAAACAGAAGTAATCTCATATAGCAGAAGTAAACTTATTTCATAGCGACTTGCGAGCGCTAGCAAATGTCGTTTGGAGAATATAGAAAAAGTGATCAGCCCCGCGATTCTGTAAAAACCCAAACCCGAATTTGATTTCACAGTTTCAAAATGAGATAGGTATAGAATATCTAAGACACGTATATTCAACCAATTTTGTTTTGTATTTTTATACAAAAAATGGAATCAATAGAATTCCTTATACTGAATGACGTGAACTCAGACACATGAGTGAATTCGAATTTGTATCTGGATTTTTACAGAATCGCAGGGCTGAGCACGAATTTTTGATTATTGTTTGCTACATGTAAAATTTTATATAAAAAAGTTTTATAATATCACCAGAAAAAAAACTGAGTGATGTATGTGTTAAATTAAATACGAAGTGTTACGTTCACACTCAAGACTTTCTAATCTGTTTTCTTCAAGTCTGTTACTAAGCTGTTTTTATGATAAGGCTTAAAGCCAGTGAACGGGTAAAGCGTATAATCTAAATAGCAATCGTCATGCCAACTTCCTGAACGGATTGCCTGCAAACAATGCTTTGATACATATCAGTTTAAATAAAGGCGATTATGCCACCAGTTTCCCATTCATTCGTTCTCAACAAGGGCATAACACGAGATGGATAGCGCAAATAAAGTCGGATGATGCGGGCGCACATGTGCCGTATAGGTACCACGGCACAATCGATTGGACAAAGTCAATCATCTGCTCGTACAGGTCGTCGCGACCGTGAATCTCTCAGCATCCCGTGCTCGCCTCAGTGGGATCCCGCCTCGCGCGCCGTGCACTTCCCGTATACAAAATATATCATTATATACGCGTGCTAGTGATTTAATGACACTATTATACCCGCGAATATGTATCACAGTAATTGACTGGAAACCGATTTAATAGAAGACCACAATGTAGAGGTGCCGCCTCGTCGGAGGAAAATGTAAGTAATACCTACAAGCGTTCCGAATTAATCACTAAAAGTTTGGAGAAAATGCGATTTTAACGACTGGGAACATTAACTTCAATTATAATCACACTATCTTATAAACAAGATAACACCAAACTATAATGAATTAGGCAAATGAAACAAATCTTGATGATTATTTATTTACGACACTACTGGAAAAGGTGTTTTTATTTTTTAATATTCTTTCATTCTATAAAATAACATTTTTTTGAGAATTCATCATTTTATACCATTGAATTGTAAGTAGGTACCTACAGTAATTATGTCATTGGCCATATTGTAAATTCATTCATATTAGACACAAAATACAATAACAAATTCTTCATACGTAAGCACTGACAATGAACTAATATAACACCTGTGTAGATAATGAGGTATTTTAGAAAATTAAATATTCAGTTTACCCACACGACAGCGCATATACTTTATATACTTAATTAACTTAATTAACATTTTGTGAAATTAAAAAAAAATCTTAGATCTTCGAGACATAAACTCCTTCATTAAAGCTAAGTTGTTACGTTTGTATTTATAAGAATAAATGCCATTTTTACACGACTACGGCGAAGCGAAAAAGAGTGTTATGATTTTCGGCGGTATGTTTGTATGTATATATATGTATGTAAGAATGTTTATCTGTTCCTTATAACTTCGAAGTTACTCATCGTAACTGGACAAATGAGGTATCATTAGAAGCGTCTCAGTTGTCCGCGTACTTTAGGCTATGTGACGTTACATTAAATTAGCTACAGAGTCGTCTAAAGTAAAAAAATATATATATTATTCAATCATTCTGTGTAATCGCTGTGTGTATAAATTAAATAAAAAAATAAGTTCAAAATAAACAAAATAAAAAAATAAGTTCAAAAACCAAAACCCGATTATAGCTAAATCACGTTCTAAAAAGTTTGAAACAAGAATTTTATTTTATAGCGGTAGCTATATTATCATAGCGATGACCAAAGGACAGCTTAGCCGTATGCCACTGATTACGTTTGTATTCATAAGAATAAATGCCATCTTCAGATTAATAATTTCTATCCCCTATGTGGTGACTACATAAAAGAGAATTTCTTACTAAAATCACATATTAGTATAAGTCTAAGTAACTGCAATTCAATTCCTCAAATAGTTTTTTGAAATACTGCAGCAGCAATTGTTTATTTTAGCTTAAATTACAAAATACACTCATACTCAGCATCATTTCTACTTTTCATTTGTGTTTTAATTAAGGCTGAATCTTTGTATAAATAATTAATCAATTTTAAGATAGTAAATTCAAATATCAATTTTTTTTTTATGTTTATACTTTACAAATACTATTTACTGTATTTCATATCCTATTTCAATTTAATACATGTTTGCACCCCTATTTTAACCTGTAGTATGTACATGGATTCCAAAAGCTTAGCACTAAGAAGTCTTTCTGAGTGCTAACCTTACTGTAGACCCAAGTGCCAAATCTAGGACTCTGTAGTTTATTTTTTTGTTAAAAATTAACTTTCCGCTAGCGGCTTCGCACGCGTAAAAATTGATTATATTTTTTATAATGATGCCCACATTAATGTGATATAAAATAACCTATATTTTAATTCAGGCTTATACAAAATTATTAAATTAAGTTAAAAAAAAATAATAGTCTAATGATCCATATATCAAATTTTATCACATTCCCTTTAGTAATATTTGCTTGAAGCAAGAACCATCTATAATTTAAAATTTATTTTAGATTCTATTTAGATGAAATTTGAATGGGACCACCTCGGTCTATCAAGCTGTTGAATAAAAAAGATTTTTAAAATCGGTCAACATACATAAAAAAAAACATACATTGCTGTCGAACATATAACTTCCCCTCTTTTGAGTTTGGAGTTGGTTAAAAATGGGGGAAGGGGATTTCCAAATATCGGAATTAATTAAATGAAGACTGATTTATTTTTAATTGTTTTGACAATATCGGTCATTTGATACGATAATAGAAAATGATTTGAAATATCCGAATCCTTCAGAGATTAAATTCCAAATTAATTTTGGTATACTTGGCGATAATTTGTGCTTCACTTGACACTTTTAATGCCGTGGGATTCTGATAATTTTCTAAGAAATTAACGGGCTGAGCAAGTCTTCTTATCTTTTAAATGACTACTTTGCGTCAACCACAATTCTGCCAACTTCGAGTTGGTAGCTGACAATTACACAATGTAATAAGTTAACCTATAGAAGAAAAATACAATTGATAAAGTACGTGTGCGCAGGAAAGAGGGCGGTCGCGAGGAGGAGCCACCAGATGAGCCGATAGCGGTAACAAGTTCGGGCATGCGTACTGAACACACATGTTGCTGCCTTGGCGTCTTGGTGGGAGTTTCACTCCTAGCCGGTAAGAAATCTGATAAAATGTGCATAACTTTATTATAGACCGTTAAACTAGATTACTTCTACGCTGTATCTTGGGTATAATTTGAGAAATTAGAAACCAGTTTTTACAATTTAGTTTTTTACACTTTGTTTAATTATCTCAACAAAATATTTAATGAGTGCTTTACGTTCCGTATAGGATACAGTATTAGATGTTAGGCAAAGCTGTTGTAAGTATGTATGCTTAATAAAATTTTTTTATTCCCATTGGATTTTTTTCAAAATTTTATCATTAATTTTAATTGAACTAAACATTTTGTTAATTTAATTTAAAAAATAAATGACGTTATTTTATTCCACCAGCCCTCGTAGCAGTAATACTTATGAAAGACACAACAATAGAAATGACAGCACTGCGGCAAGTTCATGTGGTAAGATTTACATTTTATAATTAAATAATAAATGAAATAAAAGCACTATTATTAATGAAATCAGACTAAAGTCACTTCCAAAAATAACTATTGCTATCTGTCGACCATAAACGCTGTCGTTTAAAACTTAAAAAAGATACATGACGAGCTTCATATATCTTTTCCATTAGATATTATGTGTGATTGTGATAGTAATATCAAGACTTGTATTGGATTTTATGTTTTGCAGTTGATGTCGCATGGGGAACGCACGCCCAGTGAAAGTGAGTTGGCGATGCTAGGAGCGCCGCCACCTGACCACGTATTTGTGCCTTATGGCGCTGGCGCCATGACTAATGTCAGTGAGTCAAAGAATTTTTTGAATATACAAAAATAACAATTAAAAAGTGTTAATTAAAAGTATACTTGAAAACCTAAATATGATTCGAGAAATCGTACTAATATCTTCTAGGTATATGTTCTTCTCAAAGCTTTGAACGCAAGATGGTCATAAGGCTTAACTTCCGAATACCTATCCTTAATATTCATGCCAGATCACAGACATAGAAATAAGTAGGTACGACGTATTTACAGCCAAATATTTTCCGATATTTTTGAGATCATTGAATTATAATACAGAATACGGAAATTTAAGCCTCTGTATAATGCAAGTATGTTTTTATTATAATACAGTTCATGGGAATCGCGGAGCATCCGTCATCCAACATCAACAACAATGGTTCATTTAAGCGTAGTTCCCAATCATTGCATCAGATGGCCGTAACGAATGACCAGAGCTACTACAATCAAGCGCATGTCGGATCCTTTCGACTTGTGAAGTCATTTCTCTAATAATATGCGCATGCGCCGCCGCGCCTCTATCCTGCTTATTGATCACTTAACAAAAGATTGTGAATAGTAACGAAATTGTATTTACTTTTAAATTAAGTAGCGGTCTCTAATGTGATCCTTCGAATTTTGCGAGAAGTTTTATATGCTAGGGAAATATGATATATGCGTTTATAACGAAGCGTTTACTTCCCGATACGCAGCGCGGGATGAGTCTCGATTCCTGAAGGTCAGATGTATGCGGGAACGAGGTGTCAGTGAGACGCAGATTGCCGTCGAGCATTAATAATGATTTATTACTTGTCGCACGTCACGGCGTATCAGAAGGGAAGGGAGGGAAGGGGGAGAAGGCTCAGAAAACGTAACGATAACGTTAGAAAAAATATTTTTTCTTTGTTGCAGGAAGGGAAAATGTTGACCTTTGAAATGGGCGCATTACTTAGGAAGAGATACGACTCATTTCTGGGACCATTCTACGAACCAGGTATATACTATTTCATCGATTTTTAATGTACGTTCTTACTAACCGTACATTAAAAATATTTGATGTAGGTTCAAAAAATTAATTATTAGATAGATTATAAAGGTGAAGTTTTGAGACAAAGAAGCAAGGGCACGTACCATCATTATGGTCACATTAAAACATTCCTAGGAGACTATTCATAATAAAATGTCTTTAATTTTGTTACAGAATTTAAAAAAAATGTACAATCAGCAAAAAATGATAACATACGAAAATACGAAAAAAAAAATTTGTATGTCGAAATCAACTTTTTGCAATGAAGTATATGGGATTTCTGTCATTTCTAATACTCAATTTAGATAGTTCTAAAGAATCTTGACTTCTACATGAAATACAATCATTAGGCATATTTTTTGTATCTTTGTTTATAGCTACTTTGATGACGGTCCAATCTTTCTGTGTCAAAATCTGTGAATGCATTCAAAAAGTTATGGATCTACTAGGACCGTTTACATTAAATTATAAGAAGATACCAGCCCTTACTGTTCCATCTCCAAAATACAATCTGTAATATATATACCTAGATTTGTACGGTATTTTTTTTAAATAACTAATAAAATGGCACATGATTTGTTCTGTCGATTATTTTCAGAGTCAAGTATAGTTATAGCATCAGACACGGAACTAAGTAAAATGACGGCGTTACTAATATCGGCAGGCCTCTGGCCGCCGCCGGTGGAACAGAAGTGGAACGAAAGCATGTTGTGGCAGCCGGTACCGTACACTTATCCACCACACGACAATGATTTTGTAAGGAAATTTATCTTAACTATATGCATATATTTAACAGTAAAGCAGGCCTACTGATTATTAATTTATGATGTGACGGAAGTAGGACCGGATACTACCTCTGATTCCATATGATTTTCATATTATCGTTCCTGGATAAAGTGACTTGGTTCTCTGTTTCACTGCCTACCTAAATGTTGATGTACTTTTTTGCAACTTTAATAAATTATTGTACGTATAATATTTTATAAAAATTAAACATAGTAACTAAAAAACTGCGACGACCCACTCTAAAAAGTTATAATTACTATTTTCTATAATTCTGAAATTTGTATCTAGAGAATATACATATTTAGTATTCGATACTATTTTCTTAAATGTTTTGATTTAATATTATATCTACGATTTATTTCCTATTATATAACTTGATCAACATTTTTCTAAGATCATCACGATGAAATAAATATTTCTAGCTTCTATATGAAGAAAATTGCCCGCGATATCAACAGGAGAAAAACAGAATCTTAAATGCATTTACTGAAGAGAGTCTACTGGTACCCTACAAGGATTTGTTTCACAAAATAGCCCAGATGACTGGGACAAATTTTAGCACGCCGCAAGATGCTTACAATCTCAACAATTTATTTATCATACAGGTAAATTCCGATCCTATTACAAATTTATGGATACCCTGGTGATTTTGCAATGAATATAGGTGGCAGTTTTGTAATTTATATTCTTTTGATATTCCGTGTGCAATTACGTTGATGTGTTCAAATTTTTAATCAGTAATGTTAAAAATTGATTTATGTCGAGTTTGAAAATTAAAATCTATAAGTTTCAACTTTGTATTAAATTACACTTTATAGCTATTAGATTTATCATTCATTATATTTGTCAGGACGATATAAAGGTACCAAATCCAAAATGGGCCAAGCATGTGAAAAGAAAACTTATGGACGTTGCGAGATTAGAATATTCTATGATGTTTCACAACAACCTACTACGAAGGCTCAGTGGCGGTAAGATTACAATTTATACCTAAAATCTGTTATTTGTGAGCTATTAGTTTTGTCTATGCAAGTAGTTTGTAGTTGGAACGAGTATTTTAATACGACGGTGCAAGTGTCATAGTCAAATGGTCAACGTGAGCCGAATAAGAACTGCGCCTGGAACTACCAGCATTTCTTGATTCACCCGTTCGATACTTGTCTTACTGTTGAAAATTTAAATGATGACCACGCGGGCGAAACCCACTGCCGGGAAGCTAGGGATATATAAAATAGACCAAAACAAAGAACAAAGAATGATTAATGAGGTAATTAACAAAAGTATAATGTGAATCACTCTATATCCAATATCTGGCACGAGCGATATAACTTTAATTGTTATGGTAATTATCTATCAAATGGTTTAAGAGTATTTATTTGAACATTCTTTTGACTCCTTATCTGGCTCTTTAACCAGCTGCATAATTACGTGTTAATATAACATTCCTGCAATATACATAACGTTTTCCCATTATCATTAAATTCAATCATTAATTCAAATAGATTTATTTAATGATGTGAAGTTTTGAGGGTATTTTTTTAATGGAAATGTAAAGTTAAAGTTTAACGCAAAATGAAGTAAATAAATTATGTAGATATTCAACATATCAATTTTCATATAGTATAATAAAAAATAATAACATTCTTACTGTCTCTCTATGGATCTCGATAGGGCAGTGTTTAGTGCGTTCGGTTTGCGATACGGTTGTTAAGCAACTTTTGCAATGGCTGACATTACCAGGCTGGTAATGATCTTACTTTATTATCTCAAGGAGCTCAATGGAGCAGTGCTTAGACTGATCGGTATGCGATGAAAAGATTAAGCAACGTTCTTGACGCTGGACGCATTGGGTCCGTGTGGTGGATTATAGCCCTATTTTCCCTATTTCATTCCATCTTAAGAAAGACACATGTGTACCTGGTTCCATATTTGAATTCTCGTCAAATGTTTAAAAGAAATTGTCTTTATAACTGCTTGAGCCATTTTTCCTGTCCATTGACATTTTCATTTTACGTATTTTTTTAGTCTTTTAATATTATTATTTTAATAACTAGAGAAGCAATTCCATACAACAGATGCGCAAAAAGGCTTAGTGCTTTTTCGAAATCAGGGCGTCGCTTTGCAAATAATATTTTTATATGGTTTAGTATGTTTGTCTTCCTTATATCTACGATTAAACTTTAAATTAAACAAATACAGAATATGTGCGAACGATACAATAAACGGGAAGATGGGTAATTGATACTGTATTACCAGCTTTTGAAAATTTTACCCATTATGATGAATGAATTAATTAATTAATGATTGACTAATGTGGATATATCTATAAGATCTATTAGTAAAATACTGTAACTTTTAAAATTGATATAATATTCTTAATGAAAAATGCTTTAAAAATCAACTTTCATTAGGAATATTTTTCACTACAGCATTGTGAAAGCAACATTGATCAATTATTCTCCAATACATATTTCAAGATTATGTGAATATAAACAGATTCCATTCGGAAGAGCAGTAAGTGTTTTAATTTTATTGCAATGTATGTAATATATTTCAAGATATGAAATATATTTATAAAGCGGTTATTTTTAATTGAATAAGCTGAAACTATCAACATATATTAAGATGGCAATGCATAATTAACTAAGTAATATTTTTTTCAATCTAATATAGAGGGCGCCCAAAATGCGGCCTTATATTATATCAATCACAAGAGTACACAAACAAATATCAATTTTTTGTTCACTTTCATGATATGAATATCAAATGGATGGCCAAGAAAAAAAAAATTAAAATATTAAATTCTAAATCCAATTTGGTGGATTAGTTATTTCTTATAGAATATATATAAAATGAAACAGTAGAAATCGAGAAGATCATAGTGAAAAGCTATTTTCACTATAATTCCAATATGGTGAACGCGGGCCGGCTTGTGAACAAAGATGTAAAGTCGAAATAAACAATGTTTACATGCAAATTTTGTCAAAGCATTTTCCTCTTTAAGAAAATTTATAAGCATTATTTTTTTTACATAAATACCAATATAGCATTGTGAATTCAAACTTAATATTCGATTTTTTTTATTCTCTAATAATAAAAATCGCCAGGTTACCTGTAATTTTCAACTTTATCAATTTTTTTTTCATAGTTATATATAGTATTTTCAATTGTGAAAACGACATCCGTAGCCGAATGGTTCGCATGCTGGATTCTAGGTGTCGCCATCTCTGTGGTCCCAGGTCCGATTTTAGGTCGAGTGAATATAGAAAATGAAAATGCTTCAGGTCTGGGTGTTGTAGTACCTTCGTTGATTCAGATACTACATAATACTAGCAATATATGTGATTTTGTCTAATAATCATAGTATAATTTATATGAACGAGTTGTGTAATAGAAAAATTTTAGTTAAAAACGCATTTAGTTTTAATTTCAGGCAGTACGTTATCATCTGTGTTTGTCTCACTTACTGGCCTGCTAATTTCGACTTATTTTCACATACGGCCGGTTTCTTTCAACTAATTATTCTCAATAACTTAACTTTTTTACATTAGTTTTATACACTAGTTTTATTTTATGTAATATAATTTAAATTTATAATGTTCAATAGTAGAATCAAAAGGAATATTATTGTTTAGACTTAATTAAAAGAATATATTGTTATTTAAGCAATGTAAAATATTTTATTACTTTAAAGTTCCCTATATTTATATAGTGAACTTTAAAGTGAATAGCAGTGCCAACACTGACGACAAAATGTCAAAATTTTATTTGTATTATTTAAATATTTTTATTTTGAAACTAGATTTAATGTTGTTTTTATTGTCAAAATTGTCAATCATTTATGTTTTGTGTATTTGGGATTATATGTCATCGTCTTTGTGGAGCAATTTTTTATACTTTCTCGGCGGGAGTTGAATGGGTACTGGAATGAAGAACGAGACAACTAAGACAAACTTTTTCTTTTTCGATAGGAAAACAAAATTCGTGATAAAATTTGTGCATGATCATTGCATCCGCTATTGTAAATGTAGCTTGAAATTGATTACTGATATTAGGTTTTTGCTCGGCACTGGTTTGGTAGGGTTGATCACATATATTTACTTTTCAATTAATTAAATAAATAGATATCTTGCCACATTCGAACTGCAGTTGAGTTTGAAAAAGATTTTAAAACTATATTATTACGATTCATCAAATTATGCTCACGAAAATTAGTTTTGTAATAATTTGACCGTCCTACCGATAAAAGCGTAAATATCCAAAAAGCTGATTAAAACGATGTGCTTTGTATGCGTTAATAAAAAAAAATATTTAAAAATGCGTAATAAGGCAATTTGGTAGCTGGACGTTTTTAGTTTTAAGAAATAAATAATAATAATAAGATAATAACATTTGTACTTTTTTTAAACTAATTATAAATATCGGCATAATAAATATTTTTACATCTCTATAAACTTCCAGCAAAAGTTATAGTTATGGAACAACCCTAGGTTTAACTTTACGTTCAATGACATCGGTTCGCAGGGGCTCTACTACAGCAAATTATCAAAGAAGCTGCGTCCAACATAGCGGATGGGACAAAAGCACGAGTCATCGTGCGCACGGGTACGCCTGTCTCAGTAGCAGCATTGTTAGCAGCGTGCGTCGCCCCTCCACCACGCTTACCCGACCCTGGTGCTGCGTTGCTATTCGAGTTACACGAAAGACTACCTTTGCCCCAAAGCAAGAAGGATCAAAAGAATTTAACAGACGGCCAAAGATTCGCGTTCAAGGTGATTAAGCTTTTCTTAAATTTGTCACTCACGGAAGATGACGTCACTTGATGTCTCTAAATAGCTATTTACAATTTACTCGGTGAATGTAGTAATTTAACTTAACAATATATTTTTTACGTATAATAATTGTTCCATTTTATGTCTGAGAAAGCAGTGACCTTATGTTTGTAAAAAATAGTGTACTTGTTATGCTATTTAAAAAATAGCCATTTTATGATAGTAATATTACTAGTAGATTACAATCTGTATATAAAATCTTATTTTTTTTTAACATAAGTACACACAGCTGCACGTTAGGTTAGCAGGATATATCAAATTTATTTTGAACTCTACACTCAATGTATTAAGGTTTAAAATTAAGTGGAGAAATATGAGCTGACATGCTGTTAACTGTACATAATTTATATTGATTTCTTATACATATTTTCGAACGCACTATCCATAAATGAAACAACGTTTAAACGGTCTCATCGCGTTTGTATTAAGTCCGAAACTTCAATAAAACTTAATACAAACTCGATGAAACTGTTTAAAAGTTGTTTCATTTATGGATAGTGGGCGTGAAAATATAAGAAATCAATAACATTGATCTAATTTATGGCATGGTTCGTTTTCAGCTTCACTAAAAGAGAGAGTTATAGGTCACAGTAAAAATAAATTACCATTATTTTTTTAAATTTCAATGTTGCTGAATGGAAAATTTATATGTCGCTCGTATGCTTATTGACTTATATAAACCATTTTTTATAGTCATTGATAAAAAGAATTAAAATCAGTCAGATTTCTGTGGAATATCCATGTTAACATCAATGTTAGCAGTCAATGAATCTAAATAGCTCTACCTACTCTGGAATATCCATGTTAAGATCAATGTTAGCAGTCAATAAATCTAAATAGCTCTACCTACTCCGCCGATCAGTGATCCATCAATAGTTAATAGTCCGATCCTTCTATTTTGAGTTGTGAGTTAACAGATAATTTAGTCAGTCAGACCTTTTCCTTTAATATACATATATTTTTCAGATTTTTTACTGGGATGACGACTCAGCCGAACCGCGTCTTATGGAAGTGCCCGGTTGCAACGCGTTCTGTCCATTGGAGACGTTTACGGAACTCACTAAATATATAGTGTCTCGCGACTATAAGAAAGACTGCACATTGGACCCTACGTCACAGTAAAAGTTTTGTGAGAGTGTAGTGAATGTAACGTATATTATCGTTTAGCAAGATTAAAATATCCAACCGAAGGCAAAACGAATTTTAGTTACAGTAGATGTAACGTGTGTTATGTAAATATTGATAGAGTATTTAATATTTGGTTCGGCTTCATGTACCGAAAAAAATTGCATGCTATTTTATCAACGGAATAAGGCTGTGTTTATAATTGGACTTTGACATAATAATGGTGTGTAATAAAAAAGGTGTGTGTGTCGCAATTGTAATTATTAATTATTGTAAACTTAAAGAGTGAATATGAAGTCGTTCGTTTATTCTTGACGTCAATTCTTTTAAAATGCTTCATATTATCATAATCAAAAGGGTGTTAATAGAGATTCTTTGGCTTCCTACCTTCATCGATCTTTATGCCCGTCTCGTCCCGTGGAATGTTTTTAGAGATATCGGTGAATTCGTCAGCACCCCAGGTTTGAGTCCCGCGCTGCTTGAGATACTCTGATATTAGAGCCGCTATGTGTAACTGGCAACACATGGCCTGAAAGATAACAAAATATATAATATCCATCCTCGATATCCGTAACAATAAAAGATTTGGTTATTTTAACGCCGTATTTAAAATTTTAACTTGTCTAATTATTCACGTAACAGAAAACTGAATAAAAGTTTCAAACCCAGTAAGATAAGCAATCTTTCATAATTTTTTAGGACTTGCATTAGTCGACTGAAGTTGTTTATTTATAAATTAATTAAGATAGATATTAGATACATCAAGAAAAACAAATCCTACAAGAAATCTGGTATTGTTCAACTTTAAAACAAATTTCATAGAATATTTTTGTTTTTCCTCTATTTTCCATTTATCATGACGAAATATTAGTAAGACACGCAATGATTACTTTACATACAAATTACTATTTTCTTATATATATATATATATATACCTTACCAATTTTATATATATATACCTCATCATAGTCGCCATGTCTCGCGTTGTGTTCTGCTAGTGTTGCCAGCCACGCGTGTCTTAGTCTAGGAGTAGCTCTACAGGACGCGGCTAGTGCAAGTTGTAACTCAGCCAAGTGGACGCTACCCGCTCCTGTACATTGTGTGATAATATATTAAAATAGAAATTTCGGTTGCGATACTTACAACGTCTGCTCACCATCTTTATTGCCACTACACACTTATTATCTTGATATTACAAAGATTATTTTGCGAGTTTAATGATCTTCCTTTAAGTAAAATGTTTACGAATGTGTGAATATTTGAGTACAGGCTTTCCCCATTGATGAAATTAAATAGGGCTATAACTCAATAAACCAGTCCAGTGCAAATTGGTGGGTGTTAACGATTGCAGATACAACCGGGACAAACGGCTTAAAGTGCCTTCCGAAACATGGAGGAGCCAGAAATAATAAATGTTTTGTCATCCATCCAATAACCGCCCTTTGCGATAGTTGCTGGAGTTCGTTTTCCAGATCTAAAGCGCGAACCACTGGACTATTTACCTTCTCTATCTTTACTTAGTATAAATTTAAGTCGGGCCGAGCAAGGTTTTTAACTATAAAATCTAATTTCATAATATATCATTTATAGAAACTAGTTTCATACTTGCAGCGAATTTCCGTTGAGTTTATATAAAAGATGATCCATCAATCTATTTATTTATAAGATGTAGTATGTAGTAAGTTTTATTTATATGTATATAGCATACAGTCATTTTTAATTATAAAAATATCAGCTTTCCACCAGTGGCTTCGCCGGCGTGGTCCTATATATTACATAGACATTCCTCTTTAATTGTTTAACTCTATATATTTCTATATATATCTCTACCACCACCACCAGCCCTTTTACGTCCCCACTGCAGGGGCTCAGGCCTTCCTTATGGATGGCTAAGGAGGATGGTCCATGACCCTCCACGCTGGCCCAATGCGGATTGGAGGGTATCAACGACTGCAAATGCAGCCGGGACCAACGGCTTAACGTGCCTTCCGAAGCACGGAGTAGCTTGAGATAATAATTTTTTGGTCACCCATCCCGTGACCGACCCTTGCGAAAGTTGCTTAACGACTACGGTCGCGAGCGCGGCGCTTATCCACTACACCACCGAGCTTACTTTTTGTTTTATACTATGTTTAGACAGAACCCTTTTACCTGAATTGCCTTGACCACCAACACCAGCGAGCCGTGCTCGTGCCCCAACGACAGTGCGAACTCGTCGCATTAACTCCGCCACTTCACTTGATAAGCCTAAAAATGGGCAGAAAATAAATCGAAGCACAAATGAAAGTGTCATATTGAAATTAATATGTTGTTATAAAACCGACCAAGTGCGAGTTGGACTCGCGCACGAACGATTCTGTACTGAAAACGAGAAAAAAATCAATTTTGTTGTATGGGTGCTCCCTTAAATACTTATTTTATTGTTTTTTTTTATAATAATAATAATAATTTATTTTCTTCCACAAATTTTCTTAAAAATTACGTCAACAAGTGCCAAAGCAAACAGTCATGTGGAAGACTAGAGCCAGAAACTAAGCCTAAAATAAGACTTGATGTTTTCGAGTCACAAGGCTTCACCTCCGATATTGCAATTTTTCTAATTCGCACTTATTTAAATTGAAATTAATAAGTTAATCATGATTGTCATGTAGCTCACCAAACAATGTTTTAGTACGTTAATATTTAAAATCATAGGTAGAATATGTATATAAATATATTATGTATTATTATGAAATACTTGTTGTTATAGCGGCAATAGATATACATTATCTGTGACGATTTCAACTCTTTATCACAGTTCAAGAAATACAGCCTGGTGACAGAAAAAAAGGTAGGTTTATTGTATGGGAGACCCCTTAAATATTTATTTTATTCAGGTTTTTGGTATTTGTTGTTGAAGCGGCAACATAAATACATCGTCTGTGAAAATTTCAACTGTCTACCTTTCACGGTTCAGGATATACAGCCTGGTGACAGACAGATAGTTAAGTCTTAGTGAGAGGATTCCCGTTTTTCCCTTTAGATAGGGAACTCTACAAATAACTAGTGGGATTCGAACAAGTGTTTTCTACCAGTTAGCTATAATCTGTAGCAGATTTATTCATCACTATCTAATGTTGCATCAAATAAATGAATGATATGATATTTATTTTTCTAACTATACAGAGTTACAAGGCATATAGTCTGTGATATATTCTTTAAAAAAATAATAATAACCGTGTGCTCTATTATTTACATCAGCGAGAACTGATGAGACCAAGTTTTCTTTCGTTAGCAGAAATAAAATAAAAACTTGGAATTCATCAGATAATATCAAATACCAGCCTCGACAAACAATTATTACTAGCAGTAAAAAAAAAATACATACCAGTACCCTTCATGGCTTTATCACCGGTCGCGAAACAGTTAATTACTGATAATGATTCTTGGAACCGTTTACAGTTCAGAGCCGTAGAATTGTCCAGCAATTTTGAAACCGCTATAATGACCTATGGTTAGCAAAAATAATTGAATTATTAGTAAGAATACAAAAAATACTGTAAAATTCAGGGCCTATGACTAGGTACTTATAGTATTGTGAAGTCATTCCTTCTGGCACCCAGTCCATACCCTAAAAGTGAGGGTGCGTAGGAGGGAGTTCAGTGAGAATTCCACCCGCAATTTGAATAGCCGTCAGGCATGTTCGTGTAGATAGTCTCACAACTTCCACCCATGTATATATATTTATATTTTTTTATATATTTCATGTATAATTTCCAAATTAACAGGGTCTTAAGCTCCTTTTCCTGTTTACAAATGGTAGGCCTAAACAAAGATTTTTTTGTTTCCTCTTAATATAATTTCTCTTCCTAGTGGTTTGAAAACCTATATTGGTGCTAGTCTCGGCATATACTCACTTGGAGATGTACTCTAGTCAGGTTACCGCCAGAGCCATGTTGGAAATTGGCCCTCATGAGCAAGTAAAGGGCTGCGGCGGCCTCACGTCGTAACCATGCGGCGCGGGCCTCACATAATTTTACTACTGCGCTTACCACGCCTGCACATAGAGTACTACCACCTACAAATTCAGATGGCACTTAAGATTAACTCACATTATTAATATTCAAAATTATGGTATTCTATGTTAATAAAATACTCGTATAAAAACGCAAAAATATGTACTCTTCACGAGAAAACTAGTAGAAGATTATTGTTACTCTGAATAAAAGTAAATAATAGTTTAATCTCATTCACTAGCTTTTATTTTTGATGGAAAAATCTGTGTGGATTTCATAAACTACTATAATAAAGAGAGAAAGTAAGTAATAACTAGATTAGGACGGCGACGAAAAGATCAAAGAAAAGATGGACGGTAAGTACAAAAGGCAAAAAGAACAAGAATGATAGAAATATAGGGCGGGCGGGTCGATTTCGGACATAGTCTTTATTTGTTTTCTAAGTAATGTAAAGGAGTCGGAAATGTAACGGAAAATCAGGGGCTTGAATGTAATAAGATGTTATTGATGAGGATTGACTAATTATTTTTTATCAATTTTTTTCCTCTTTCATTCAATAAAATGTAATGTTTTCATGAGATCCATCTTTATCCACCTCTAGATTGACAATAGTCCTGGTATATCCGGTTAAAATGTTTCTTTTTTATGACATATATCTAAACTTATTACAATAGGGATGATGACTATATTTTGTTTGTTTGTCCGTCAGGTGGAGTGTTAAAAAATATTAAACACGTATTTTTTAATTTTTTTCGTAATCATAAAATTACGGCGTTACATTGAGTTGAAATTGCGCATGACGTCACATTAGGGTACGTTTTCTACTTAACTGTGACGTAGCGAGCCCCCACTCCTCAACTTTAATGCCTGTTATCTAAGCTATTAGGGTTTTTTACCCGGGTACACCCGGGTATTGGATACTTCAGGTATCCGGGTACAAACAACGGACGTACCCGGGTCTCGGGTAATTTTGATATATGCGCGTTGGTAGACAAAACGCCTGCAGAAAAATGTAAAGCAATTACAATCACAAGTCACGTTGCTTAGAATCGTAATTAAATGATAGAATTTATTGGTTAGTACGGACGGCGGCGTACGGCGGTCAAGTAGGAGGTTATGTTACATAGCTGAGTTGTTGGAATTGCAGGTAGTTTTAGTTGAAAAATTGAAACTTTAAAAAAATGTACCTGAGACCCGGGTATCTAAAATTGACGGGTATTTGAAAAGAAATAGTATTTCTTGTTAAATTGAAGTAAAAAAAAAGTATCTAATATTTTTCTATTATCTGACTGACGGACTAAAAAGAATTGCATTTTTTTTACCCAGTCATCATCCCTATTTGCCCCTTTTTCTATAATACATATTATTCAAAGATGGAAATCATCTCAGCATTAAATATCAGCATTGGATTACCTTCAAACAATGTTTCAGAAAACTGATTAATATAAGCTCTCAGTGCAGCAAATAGATGCTTATATAGAGTTTCGCTTTGAGGATAATGGAGCAACTTCAAATATGGCTTTGCGGCGATTCCGTCCGCTGCGCCTAGGTTCTTCATGAATAGACACGCTCGATCTATGATAGCAAGGCCAACTTCTGTAGCCAGACATCCAGCAGATATCACAGTATGCTCTGCTATCGCTTCTAATTCTAAAATGAAATCGACTTTTAACTTCTTATGTGAACATGATCGTGCATAATTTATACTAATATTATAAATACCTAAAGCTTCTAACTTTACTTGTTAGTAGGCTGAAATTTACGGAAATACTGATCTAATTATAAACATTCTTTGACCCACGAGAAGCTATATCATACGCGGATGATAAGGCTTTAATTTATTCGGACAAAGTCGCAGAAAAACAGATTGTAATATTATACAAGTGAAATTACGTAAGACTATCTCATGTGGAAGTGAATACCGTCGATCATCACAATGACGTCGACGACACAAATAATCTCTATTGAGAAAAATCACAACTACTGGGGAATTCTGTGAAGATTTTAAAAATAAAAATTCATATTTCCTGTAGAAATATTCTTATGTACTAAAATTCACCTGTAGTGACGGTGGTTGTGGCCAGATTTTCTCTGTTAACGGTGTTGTTTTTATTTTCCACGACGATGGGCGGTTCTTTGGAAAAGTCAGGAGGACTCATACGGGCCGGCAGTGTCCGGGCCTTCACTGGTTTTGGTTTACCATTACAATCTGGAGTTGTCGCTTTCATTTCAGAAAGGATTCTCTTCCTTCCGACATATTGAAACTGTTCTGCGCATATCCTGCAAGGAAAAAAGCGTTAAAATATTAATACCCCTTTTCATAGTGCAGGTGTTAGATTATTTGAGTTTCTTATCACATTAACTGCTTGCTACGTATTACAATTATTTATTTTTAACATTAACAAAAATGAGATCAAAAAGTTTGATCATAAGATTAGAATAAATAAATTTTAGAGCTTTTTCTGGTTGATATTCGTTGATAAGGTGCGGTTCTCAAACATTGCCTACTCAGCTTCGTCCAGTTGCTGTGCACTGCTAAATAGTTTATTTTCGTAACAGCTAATTGATATGATACGCAACGCACCCATTAGAAACTAAAGTACATCTACCACGTTCTGTCAGCATTTAATTATCGCTCTGTGTTAATAGGATAAATTAGAGATGTTGTCCGCCCTATATTTCTTGTTTGCTAGGCTTTTATTTGTCTCCTTTTCAACCATACAATGGATTTTGATATGATTTTCATTGGTGTATTGATTTCCCGAAGAATCATCATGCTAAGTCGGACTGGGTTGCTAGTATTATTAGAATATAATAATCGTTTCTATTCTATCGTTTAATATAATAATCTTTTATTATGAAGCGTGAGACCGGCTTTCTGATATTGACCTGCATGTTTACTGCGGGCTGCCAGTCTAATACACTTGCATAGAATTCCTTGACATCTGATAAAATTTAACCCGATGTATTCAGCAAACCCACTGTATCTAACAATATGAGATAGTCAAGTATATTTTAAAGCAATCCAATGTCAAGGAAATCGATGTAAGTGTTAACGGTAAACCGCTATATTTTCTTTCAAAGCTTCTACAAAATAGAAAGAGAGTGACAGAAAAATTGCGTAAAATTATTGTGTAAAATTCTTATATAGCGACTTACTCCAAAACATTGAAAAACGACTGTTGTTGTGCTGGAGAGTGGGTTTTCCACCACTCAACGAGTCTCTCCTCATCCAAATACTTTAACACAAACAGGAAACACAAAAGCACGTCCCGAACCTCCTCTGCAGACATCACACCAAATCTGAGACACACACAAACGACAATCAAACTTCTGTGTTAAAACATAAGGTTCTATTACAAAACAAAATGTGTATTATAGATGATAGAAACGTAATAAAATCTTCAGCTATGTATATGTTTATTTTTTTGGACATTAAATGTCTAATACAGTAGACTGTTCAGAAGTTTTCTTCATTTTACTACTTAAGAGAGAAAAAATTAAGGTATGTAAATAAATATATAAGAATATTGTTAGCATTTTTTGATTACACAAATCTAACTAATGCTCACCTGTTAACTTGGTCCCCTATTTCACTCAAATCCAGTCTTCCTACATTTCTAGGAAGTGAATCTCCACCAGACATTGTAGAGACAGATTCTAGCGAGCTTTGCGACACATTATTTGTGTGATCTACAAACATAGTGCTGTGTAACAAATCAAGTATTCGAAAATCCGAATAATAAAATTTATAAAAAGTGAAGACAAGATATATGCCAGTGCAGTGAAAAGCAGTTAAATATTATTTTAAACGTGACAGCTTATATAAATTGAATAACTTTTCCACATAGAATTATTAAGCGCTGATGAGTAATATATAAAAACTTTTGACGGTTTTTACCTTTACACAAATTATTTGTTTGTACGACGGGTGGGTCTTTGAAGTGAGCCGAGTGTCGTACGGGCGTGTGATCGAAGTGTAATGTCAAACGATTTCTTCTCGGAGTACTGTTAGCAGATGCGATATCCTTCTGTACTGTTATAATTGGATTCATGGTCGCATCCCCATCCGGTTTATCCGTACCGTTTTCGACTACAGGACTCGCTAGAGATTTGGTGACTAAGCGATGAGCATTGTCTATCAACAACGAACGAGAAAAACTTCATAAATAGGGTATTCTACTCTATTTGAAATAATACTTGTAACTGTTTATTTTAATTTAAAAAAGCCAAACAATTATTTCGGAAAAATAAATACGTTTTATTGATTTAAAATTAATTTATTATTTTTATACGAAACGCTGTCCGTCATGTTCATAACGTCATCAGATATGTACACAAAACAGATGCATATCAATAAACAAGAACAACGCCATCTAAGGATCGATTACGAAATAAAAAGATATAAAAAAGTTAAGAACAGCGTCATCTGGGAATTAAATTTATAATTAATAGGCATATCTTTATGTCTAATCTACCAGCTGTCGCCACCGTGACGTCACAATAATGGCGGTCGTGTTTCAAGTCACGAGACAGTCAAAAAATAACGACTTTTAATTTTATGATAATAAGATAATCGTGTGATTTTAAGACTCAAAATCAGAATGTCTATGTTTATTACAGATGACGCCAAACAACTTGAACAAATGACCTTGCATGTGCAGAAACCGATTTTAGGCGTCGCGGTATGCGGTGCGGGGCGCGGCGTGCGGAAGTAGGATCGCATCGACCGCGCCAATCCACGCTATTGGTGGATCAGTCAACCATCGCTTCCCGCTTTGTGTTCACGTCTCATCGCTACTTCAGTACACTTGCAGGCAATAACATCACGACCTCAAAATATGTCTCGTCGACAATCAAACAGTTTTAAAAAGGCAAGCCAGAAAGATGATATACGATGTGTATTGCTTTTTAAAGAAAGAAGAAACATCCGATTTTGAAACAATGAAACAGACATCGGAGGCTCGTAATTTCTCACTACTACTATACACGCAGCTACTTACTTCACGTGTATCATTCGTGTGCACGTTTACCACTCAGTCACTCATGCAAATAGGACAGAAAAAATACAGAAATAAATAGTTAACGTAGGAATAAGAAATTCTAATGCATAGGTTTTTTTGCTCGTAAGTGTACATGCGCAAACTTTCCCCCACCACCACACTTTTTGTTCAAGTTGTTTGGCGTCATCTGTACTAAGTAAATTTTAGTTTTTGTGCAATTTCATGTCTTATTTTTCACACCGAAACTACCCTATTAGCATAAAAAGTTTTTTGATGATACAAGGTGTGCATAAAAATGTGTTTTTTTATAGTTCTAAAAGTCTTACATATGCAAGATGCCAATATAGTATAGATATGGTAGCAGTTACCTAATACGATGGTGAGCCAAGGCGCATAGAGAAGTGCTAATCTAGCGCGACACTGCCTCGTTCTGTACCTGTCGTCGTGCTCGTGCTTCGTCAGTAAGGAACGAAGCACACCGAGTGCCGTGCGACGTTTCTGAGGCGCTTCCCTCAGCGATTGTTCTACCTACGAATATAGATAGGTGAATTTGAAATTTATTAACTGGCATGATATTCTGCTGGTATTTATAAAAGTACGTATCGGGATGAGCTATGTAATAATATGAGAGTTTTTAATTAGCAGTTAGTTCATATCAATCACTTATGGATTGACCCTAAGGTGCCATTTATTCGTTAAGTACGACGTTCTTTGTAAATTTTTGACACCCTTCCCCTAACCCTTGGAAGAAAAATTAATGCATGGTACTTGTAAGATATTTTGATGCTCTTTTAATTAACACAGGGGTAATGCAACTTATGCATCAAAACAGGATTTTTTAACCACTAGGGCTTGAGTCAAAACGTAGTTGGCCTTTCTCTTAAAAACAGCTGCTCAATACCCTCGCGTAGGAGAGGAGAATCTCGCAGTAATTTGAAGTAATTTATAATAAAATTAAAAACAAATTTACTAGTAACAAAAAATACCCTTGCACCGTAGTATTAAGAATCAAGTTCGTTTGTACAGCACACGTAGAAAGAGATCTTTAACGAGATCTATGTTTATGAATTAGTATACCAATAATGTAGATGATCTCTAGCAAATAAAGATATACGAAGACGGTGAACTGTCGAATATATTTCTGTTACGATAGTAACTTGAAACTATATTAAACAGACCTAAGAATATAAAAGTGACTTACTTGTTTCAATAAGGTTCCGGCAAGAAAATGAGTCATTATGAATTCATCTGTTAGTTTCAATTTGGCAGGATCTATTGAAACAAAAAGAAAATTATAGAGGCAAGGTATGGCATCAACTAAATTATAATAATTTACTCATTATTCACCTTCATCACAGTCTTTTGCAAGCAAATTAGCTTGTAATGGCAAGTTGAACGGCACAAAATGTTCATGAGTGCATATAGTCTGAAGAAATGTAAATTTAAAGTCAAATAATGCTTTCGGATCGCATGCCTTAAATTTTTCTAAATATTTTTTTATTTGTCGAAACACAAAACCTCTGTCCATGAAGGAGAGACATGACTGAAAAAAAAAGCAGATGGTAAAAATTGAAGATAAGAACCTAGCGAACTTAATAAAGTGCAACTTACTTTAAGAAAAAGGGCAAGATTTTTGTTGAATATATGAGTTTGCATAGGTTGTTGTAATATATAGGACGGTTCAACAGCTGTCACCAGTTTATCGATATTATCTAACAAGTCCGGCTGAAATCTTTCATTTCTCGACATCTGAAATGCTAAATCTATGAGTATTTTGAATACCTTAAATGTCCATTAATTTTGTTTAAAATTAAACTGACCTTGATCCTTCCAGTATTTATTAAATACTGAGCCATACTTTTGATAATTATGTCAAAGAAGAACGCAGAATACTGCATAAACTTGTGGCCTAATAAGAAGTCTTGCTGATTTGGATCCACGAACATATGAAGTGGCGCCGTCAAAACTATATGCAATTTGTACTCGACGCAATTAAAAACGTACTGCAAAAACAACGGCCCTTGTTATCCATCCTTTAATTTATACACAAATGGAATTCCGACATAAAATAAAAAAGAAACCATTTTATACCTTGACATAACTATCTAAAAGATCCTTCCGTCCATAGTCATGTATCATATGGACAAAGTGAACAATCAGCTTGACTATTTGATAGCCCATATCTTGGTTATAACTTTTCTCAATAGTCTGTAACAAAAAATGGCTCATTTATATGCATGCCGCAAATGACACTAAATAATTTTTAAAATATATTACACGATTAAGGGAATTAATGCAATCAGCAAAGGGCGGAATTAATGTCTTTGCGCAATGGCAAACATTATTGATCTTCTCTACCTTATACATCTACATGCAGCTTATTATACTTTTAATTCTTAAACTTTGATATAATTTAGTTTCTGTATTGTCTCTATTAAAGTCATATAAACTTACATAAACGCATTACAACTTACCATCAATTCAAACAGCTGATTTAACACGGTCGGCAAGAAACCAACGAGGGAACTAAGTTTGATCGCATGCGCAGCTTTTAAAGCGTTGCAAACGTCATTCCAGGGCGGCGGAGAGGGTGAGGTGGGGGGCGAGTTACACTTTATCAATCTCTCTATTTGACTGAATAAGTTGTGCAATTGAGGATCACGAGTAGCTACTGTTGAGTCTAATATTAATTGACAACGGAATAGCTGTTTCTCGCCTTCCACCCATACTACTTCTGGGCCGGAATTCTGTAAATTAATCAAGTGAATATTTAGATAGATTTAATAATAATAAATCAAAAGAAAATTGAATCATTTTTAATCATATGCAAGGTTTTTACTTTATAATATTTTGTAATTATGTAATCTAAGTTAAAAAGAAACAACATACCCCCTTTCCCAATCCCAACGGTTGAATAGAAAGATAGCCAGATGGTAAATGTGTTGCTATAGGCAAATTAACGATTTCTTCAATTAATTTGTCGTTCCGTAATAATGGTACCCAAGCATATCTGAAAGATGAAAACAAACTAGTTTAAACTAGAATAAAAAACTATACTATAATATACCTGTATATTAGATTTCAAAAACGTTAGACTTGAAATTGTCAGCGAAGACTTTATAACGCCGTCATTAATTGGAATAAATTTATGGAAGGAAAAAAATATGAAATAGATTAATAAATGACACTAATTGTAAATTTCTGTCTTAACTACTTATCACAGAAGGCAAATTGTTACAGGTTAATAAAAATCTAATTTATTTCTACAACAAGCTTCAAAGTAACATCATCAAATTCTCATTCATAAATGTAATAAAAACAATAGGATTCCACTTACCCAATACAAGTTTCAACGTTAGTGTCATTCTTCTTACCGACGTCGCAGGATATGTGGTGGAACGTGAACAGGAGATGGTGCTGCGGTGTAAGCGTCGCAGGTAATCTTATTTTAGCTTCGTCGCACCAACTTGGACTTGCATTGTGATGCAGTACAGAACACTTGTACTGACTTGTCATACCGGTACGACCGTATACTACCTATGTAATAACAATCATCCTTATTTACACACAGCCAGGGTATCACGATATTCGCAAATACCACATTATCGTCCAATTTCCACAGTTGATTTTGAACTATGCGCTCAATGTATTAAGGTTTAAAATCATATGGAGGAATCCGACAGGTTTGTATATTTTATAGTAATTTGCTTTTGACTGTACATAAAAATATACTTCACAATGGCTAATAAATTCAAGTCAAGGGTAGGATACGGCTTAAAATGCCCATACATTTTATAATTAATAGATATAATTATATAATTTTAAAATATTTCAAAAAGAAACTATAAGTGTTTGGATGACGATATCAAAAGGACCATTGGGTGAAAGTTGATGTTGGTTGCATAAGATCATGGCGAATGGGTGTATGCCAGAGAGACGAGACAGTCTGGAGAGAGAAAGAGAGAGGGGGGGGGGGGAGATATATTGGAAAGGAGAGGAAGGGAGACAGAGAGACAAGTCATCTATTGTAATATTATCAAAAGGTAGTTTCTAACTCTTTTTTTCTGAACCGATTTATGATTATACATATAACTGATAACGTTGGCAAAAGATAACTGATAACGTAACTTAAATAGAAACTGTGAACATATCAACACCAGACTCCAACCTATTTGTTGGTCAAATATTTTCTTTACCTGTAAAGGCTTGTTCGCCCCAATATCGCTGTCTCTAAGTTCGACAGAGCACGCGATATTCCTCGCTCGGGCGAACACTTTCTGCGAGTCGAAACTGAGCATCAAAGGGCGGACGTACAAGTGGTGTACGTACGCAGCGTACGGTTGTTCAGGTTCAATGTTCAACGTCGCCAGTTCCAAAGTGAGGGGGGAGGTGGGGGGTAACGGGAAGGGTTTTAATGCTGCGTACGCGCTCGTCATGCAATCTGAGAACAAGTAAGAACATGATTAAACAACTGTTACAGAAATATCTTACTTACATGGCGCGTTAGAAATCTTCGTTTGCGCGGAGCCGAGCTCCTCATTCCAATTATGTATGAACGTATTATGTATGTTTCGTTAGTTCTTCTCAGATAAGACTCCCAGATTCAGAACTGGTGGTAGTTTACGGTAGCCAGAGGTAAATAAACGAATGATAAATTAAATAAGTCAAATGTATTCTTAAAAATAATTTACTTTAAGAAATGTAAACGTTTTCATATATAAAAAGAAATGATATTGTGAATGTGTCCAATATTATTGTTTTGAAGTAAGCTATCCTCTTAATTTTACACAGCTTAGTTTACAGCTTAGTTTACGTGAAACGGAACCTACCCTCTCTTACTCTCTTATCATACTCTCAAACGCAATCGCGACCGATCGAAATTGCAATTGTGCCGTTTCGTGCTCTTGATTCTAGCGCCAGATTATGCCAGTGAACCAATCAAGAGTGCGGAGCGGCACAATTGCAATGTCGATCGGTTGCGATTGCGTTCGAGAATAAGGGGGCTGTAAAAGGCTCGAAACGTTATAAAAGCAAATACAAACGCGCTGAAATCTTTTAAAGTAGTATTAAATTGATGATTTTGTTTAAATAACTTAAGGTATAAAATAAATATACATACAACTATAAGGTATAGAATAAGTATCCGTCTCACACACTCGATGGGGATCGATCGATGGCGCGCTATTAGAAAGATCAAATTGGCCATGATTTGTTGCCCTTAAAATTAACCTACTGCGTACTTACAGTCAATAGAGCACATCATGGTTTATAAATCTGTTAAATTTCTCCATTCGATTTTAAACCTTAATTTATTAATAGAATACAAAATCACTAGAAGAAATTTGACATATTGTGGTAACCTGACGTGCAGCCGTGTTTACTTATGAACATCGGTAAGTTTACTTATGAAATTGGATCAGTAAAAGTCAAGATATACAGTGTCTCTTTCAGAAACGAAACCGCAAAGTAGTAGCAATAAATTTCAACCATATCATTAAATTTGCTGTAAGCATTTATTTGAAACACGTAAACTCTTTACTTATGTTTGTACAATAACATCCAATAGGATCATAGTGAAACGATATAGCGTGTTGGTTCTCGTAAATCCCTAAAAATTTGGGCTTGTAAAAAATGCTACTAACAGCATATACAACCAGTATATTCAGTCAAATTAGTTACAAAAATATACTTACTTGGAACAGGTTCGTTACTTTGTTGAATACTAATATTGAGCCATCCAGGTATCACAGTCAGTTTGGCTAATTTCTCAGGTTTCCTGAAGTCTGACAGTATCTTTAGAAGGTCCTCATCAGACATTTTATTTGGTTCCTGACGATAAATAGCTGGAAATTCCGGCGTTGTATCTAAATCATTGCTATATAATCTGCAAGTAAAATCAGTTTAACTGTTAATATTTATTGGAAACACATTTTGAATTCAAATTATAGCCATTATATTAAGGTTCTAATATATATATGTATTTACAAATATTATCCACCATTTAGTAAATTTTCTACAAAAGTTTACATAAGAGGATTGATAAAATCTGGTGATAAAAATAAATAAATTTACCTAAAAAGCGGTTTCGCAGTCCATGCGAAGGGCATCCTATAGTTGCCCACACGGTTTGCATATGCCTGCACAGTCTTATGGACTTTAAGACCCAACCTTGGGTCTTTAGTAGCCTTAAGGTACGGTTCTAGAACCTGACTAACATGACCTTGGAGAATCTTGTCAATCTTCACAACTAGGAACAGGTCCGGATGTGGATTGTTCACCGAGAGGAGTACCTGTAATCACATATCAAGATCATGTCAAACGAGCTGTATTTAAATTTGCGTTAACAATATAAAGTGAGAGCGAATGGATTAAGGAAACATGTTTATATTGGATGGATATTTCCCGGTACTGCTCCCATTTAAAATTAATATAATCTTCGAACTGCGCGTAGGTTCGTAACGTACCTTAGTTACGGTATGGCATGGTCTTCACAGGCAATTAAAATAAAATTATGATATAATGATATGCCAGGCGATTTAAGATAAAGAAATTCGTAAATTTGGGATAAAGAATCGCGTTTGTTGCTGATGCTTGGGTTCAATGTAAAGTTGGAAACGAAACAAATACAGATTAATAATTGCCTGAGATAATAGAGTTTATGATGCCCTTGAGTATGTTATAAACTGACAATAATTAACTTGAAGATTATTCATCAGTTTTTCATCTTTAACTAAACAGATGTTTGTCCAATATCAAATGTAGTAATCTTGAAGTTAAATTAAATTTAAAGCATAACTCCTTTATAATAAGAGCTGTATTTTAATGTTCCATATTTTTACTCACCTGCCTTTTAGAATGGAACCATTCGTCCGGTATCTGTTTAACGTCTAACTTAACGTCGTAGCTGAAATTCTCAATAAGTGAATTGATGCATTCGGTCTCTTTGACTAGATCCTTCACAGCGGCAGGGTTCAGATCAAAATGGAAGTTTTCAGTGAGTTTTTTTCCACTTCTAGTGTCATATAAAGCGAGAGAGGTAAAGTAAGGTTCCACTTGACATAACAATTCTTTATCGCCATCTATTGGCGCTTGTAATCTAAACTTTAAACTTTCACATTTGAGCAGAATTCTTTGGCCGAAATGTTCTCTGCAATTCAAAAATACTCTATTATTAACAGAAATTCATACTATCAGTATTTAGGTAAATATAATAATATAGGTCTGTCATCATATAAAATAACAGGAAAATATGAAAATGATCAGTTCCTAGCCTTTATAAAATATTAATGGATAATGTGAACAATGATTTGACATTGTATTCATATTATGAAACAAAAAGCTATTGATATGTTTATATACCTACCAAAAACGAAACAAACAAACTCATAATTACTCAGAAAATAGAAATTATAATAAATTAATCGATTGTCCTCAGAATATATACAATAACCTTTAAGGTGTGTACAATAAAGTTAATTTTAATAAATCTATTAACCATACTTTCTACTAATATGATAAAGAAAGTTTTTATTTTTTGTTGAATAGTCTACGAAATTAGGGAGTTAATTATGGAGAAGCTTGGTTGCATAGTGGATTAGCGCCGTGGCTATCGATTATTGTTGTCAAGCAGCTTTCACAAGGTTCGGTCACGGTATTCGTCGGTATCGGTATAGGTATTTTTTTTTAAATGAGTTTTTATTATGTTGGATATTATTAAGTGAAAATGTTGAAGACTGCATAGACTTGTGATTTAAAAATAAAAAAACCCCCTGCCTTGAAGGATAATAGAAAATCAAGTAAAAAGGTTGGAACTTAAATAAAAGTTATATTAATTAGAATAATTACTAGGTTGGTCGGGAAAGCGTCCATACTTAAAAGTATTATTTTTATATGTTATTTGTATTATGTTAATGATAATCATGATATACCTTTTTAAAATCCTTATGTTAAATCTTTTAATTCGATACCCATATTGTATTATAATTTTTTGTTTCTTAGTACAATGGCGTTATACAACCGCCATGTTTGATTTTCCTTATCTTCATCTATTTTGGACAGTTGTACTGCTAAAGCAAACTAACGATAGCATAACTAAATATGTAAATCCGTTTGGCGTTCTGGAGATATGTATGGTAATAAAAATAATACATACATAGATCAAAGAAACACACGAAAAAAAAACAACCCTTCCCTTGTAAAAAATAAAGACTGGCCGATTACAATAACGTTTTCTTTATTTTTTTTTTCTTCAAAACGAGATCCTCGTTTTATGGTGAGACTGTTGTCAAAATTCGGTTTCGGTTTCGGTCAGACACTAGTATGTAGTATGATATATTAAGAAATAAATCCTTTTGACTGTTTACTTACTTGAACGGTTCTAACTGAGGTTCAGGCGAAGGCGCTCGTTTGTATGGCAAATTGAATATATTGTAGCGACATTCGTTCCTTGCTACTGCTATCGACATATCGGTCTCCCGTGAGTACCGTAACAGTAGGGGGTTCATGCTGTGTTCTAGACCTTTAAGAGTGCCGTATATAGGAGGGGGTGGTTCTGCAGTAAGAGAAACATCCGCATCTGTAAAACACAAATTTCAAATTTTCTTTATTCAATATTTATAAAGTAAATAAAGTTTTTATAAAGTAATTTTTAAAAAAAATCTTATTGTACCTGCAGCCTACTTGTCTTAAATTAGACAAGTATCTTTCACAGTCCCTATCAAAGGTTAACGATATGTTAACGATAAATGAAATTGTGTAAGTTTAGAGTCGCAAGCGCTCGGAACGAATGGTGATTTAAATGGTCAATAAATATAATAAAAAGTAAAACTTAAAGTAGGTATTATTTGCATCTAACGCTTGCCTTAGATGATTCCAATTAAGGTCAAATTCAAGATATCTTCCAATGTCTTTCAAATGTGAAATTGAAAGGGTTTATGATAAAAATAAAAGGAAAATTAGACAATTAGGCCTCTGTTTTGTCCGTGTGTCGACTGGTGTTATTGTTCCATTTGTAGGGTTCCGTACATTAAAAGGAAAAAACGGAACGTTTGTAGGATAACTCGATGCTTGGTTAACTTGCACTTTTGCGGTTTATTTATGGAATAATAGACAGAGAGCTCGTAAAGAAAATGTGCAAAGTTTTCTAACGATTGACACTGCAGTATGTGAAAGTAGAAAAGGCAAATATCACTCGGTAACCTGGTGGAAGCGACGGCGCCAAACAAACTTCCAACTGTTGCTAAAAGTGTTTGTTCCCCCAAATGAAAGTCTAGTTTTTTTTTTTTTTTACTTAATTAACTAGATAAAAATTTACAATTAATCAATTTTCAACCATTACGAAAATCTTTTTCGAAGATAATTAATACTAACTTCTGCAACACCGCGGTCAAAAATTGTACGATCTGAGTAGTTTAAATATATTACACTATTAATGCTTGTTACCATTTTACGTATTTCACCGCCACTACCAGAACTTCCAGCATCTGACATCTGCTTTTATTCTTCCAATACACATATTCAAATATCAACGATATAAGAAAACTCATTTTTATCACGAGCTCTCGCACTATAAAAAAAATGGTAACACAAGTCTCGGCTCTGTCATCATGATGGTATGTTTTCACTAGATTTGTGCTAGGTAAAAATCGAGCTGTGGTAGACTGTATATTATTTTTATTGCCACCATTTACTGTTGCCTGTTGCTTGAACAAACTAATATTGTTAGAAAACCAGTATTCATATTACGTGTGACATATATTTATTACCGCTGCATAACACCATAGCTAAAACTTGTTTTTATTTTAGGTCTTAGGCTCTTAAATCATATGACAATATTCTTGTAATACCTTTATCTAAAGCGTCCTCGTTTTGATTATTTTCACGACTGTCTTGGTTCTTTTTTAAAGCAGCGTTGAAAGCGACAATCCATTCATTCAAAGATTTCTCATTGTCAGTCGCAAATGTGTAACCTTTGCCCCCCGCCATACGTAATTCGAAACAATATCTGCCTCTTTTGGGATTCTAAAAAAAAATGTTGAAAACAAGAATTATAACGGTGATAAGGATAGATAATTTAACAATGCAATATTGTAGTACAAACCTTAACAACATCCGAACAGAAATCCATAACAATAGTGAGCTTTGTATCAGTTTTTTTCTCGTCTTTATAAACTTCCAGTACATAAGTGCCGTCCGCCTCCCTGACCATTGAGCAATATCGTTTCTTGAATGACTTCGATGCGAGATTACTGAATATTCTATCGGAGCCGATCTCTGGCCCTTTGAGCAAGTACCCCTCTTTCGTGCCAAAATCGACCTTGGACGCTTGAGCCTCATGGTCTAATTCAGCTTCAGTATCTATGTCATATACTTCTTCTGGGAACTTTGATTCTATAGCTCTATTAAAAAAACATAAACACGTACGTTTATTCCAACAGCATCGTAACAGGAAATATTCATTACGTAATGAAAGATATTATTAAGAGCTTTTGTATCAGTCCGTGAGTATGCCTACAGTTTTTATCAAATCCAATGTGCATTGGTGTACACAAAAAGTAACACAGTAACTATAGAACACGAGTTGCTTATTATATAAGGTGTACATATATTGGTAGTAACATTTTGTAATTAACATTATACAGGATATGAGATACAGAAACAGATAAACTGTAACAAAAGTAAATGACCTTGTAAAAACTGTTAAAAAGCTACAAACTGTAGTTCACAACTAACCGGCGAGCACACTGTTAATTGTGTTGCTAATGACCAACCAAACATTTTTGTTACTGATTTAACACATATCAAGAAAACATATTGTGTTTAACGTTCATTATTAGACAAGATGTTACGAAATGCCTAATGATATGAAAGTTTATCATAGATGCGTTTAGACGACACTCTGCTGAAGCGATGAAGTTTTCTGACGAAGTCCGGTTACTCTGGTTAAAACCGAATAACGATTTTCACTAGTTCCTTATCAAAAATCATGCCTTACTGATTGGATACTTTAAAATATTAACTTTACGGTTGCGGTTGTGTTTTGCAAAAATATGTATGTCCAAAGAGGAACGAACAATGTTCAGACCTCCATTCTAAAATACCCAAATATCTGTTGAATGTACTACAAAATATTGCAGAGTGAAATCTGGAAATGGTTACAATGCAGATAAATTTTTGGAACTTACCTTGGCAAGTTTAGATAAGTTCCTGAATAGCTGCTGTATTTATAGTGTATGAGATTCCAGCTGGAGGCATAACTGAGTAGCGCTTGTCTGGTGAGCAATGGACAGGAGGCAGCTGTTCTTACATCTGGTACAGCTGTAGTTACCGTACGCCAGCGTCGTGGCAGTACCACGCTCTAAGATATATAATATTTTATCATTTTTATGTAAAAATCACGGAAAACAATACAAAGATGGTTGTATTATTTTCCGTGATTTTTCTTTTTGACTGGTATTTAGCGCGCCGACTACTAGTTCAGAGTAACAACAAGACTCCGAGGCTACTGGACCGATTTTTAAAATTTTTTCGCCTTCGGGTAGCTACATCATAAGGGGTTGACATAGGCTATAATTTACGCGTGCAAAGTCGCGGGCAAACAGCTAGTTTATATATAATTTGTTATTGCTATTGTTGTATCATTTTCCTGTTTGCATTTTTAAATCATAGGAAATCAAAAAGATATAAGCCATAGAAAAAATATTTTACACCAATAAGGAATGCAAGTGGTTGAAATGTAAAACAAAAGAGAAATGAGAAGTTTAAAAATTAAAAAAAAATTTCTAAATGCACACAGATATATATAATTACCTAAACTGTTTCCTATTACTCGTATTTTATATATTTTAATTTCCAGTAGTAGTATTAATACCTACATAGATACAAAGAAGTTACATGCATTATCCTTAAAGGTATATCGTGTTCCATAGATCGCGGAACCTGCTACGGACTAATACCACGTTACGATTCGACTGTCTTTTGTGTGTGTAGAATATGGTTTATATATATAATCAAACGACAACTGTAACCGTAACTCGCACGAGACAATATGGAAACTTAATTTAGAAATATATAGAACAAAATAATATAGAAATTTAATTTTTCAATATTGTCTCAGGTTTGTATGTTATTGAGGCTATGTTGTTTTGGATACTACATAATATACTTTAGTTACTCATCTTGGATCATGTGATTTTGTCTTATATTTATTTATTTATTTAATATCGAATATAGTTGAATTCTTACCGAAACATCATCAGTAGGATAAAGCAGAATATCCCTAAGAGGATCATTTAGCAGCAAAGTTTTGTTTTCTGTGATGTATCTCTCGAAGTCCAGTGCAGTGCATTTGTTGAGAATATTCTGTAAGACAATAAATAAATAAAACATTCTTTATAATATAATGTTTTGATTAACAAAGATAACTTTATCAAATGCATTAAGCATCAACTATTTTATATATTCCATTATTTGATATTTTATATAAAAAGTTTTTTATTGCAGTAAAAACTTTGCCTTTTTATTTATTTACAAATTATCATAACTATATTGTATTCTGATATTGATATATTGAATACTGATATACACTATCAAATACAGCAACAATGTTTTAATAAACAACTACACATGTTGTAATAATCTTGCTAGCTAATGTTATGTAAATATTGAATGTGGTAAGGATACATTACTGATCAATGTTTTAAATAATGGTATATTAATAAACATTACATTGTGATCTGAAATTGAATGTTGCAAATAGGAAATTTGTGCAATTCCTCTTTAAACACTTATTGTTAAACATTTATGATCCGGATTAAGTGAAAGGAATAGGTTATTCTTCTCTATTTTTTGTGTGTGTGTGAAATGTTTTGGCCATATAAACAAGTTTTTTTTTTCTTAAAATTAAACTAAAGTTTTAACTGCTTTGTACACATGAAAACTCTTTCCGCATTACAGTACTCATTTTATGTTGTAAACAAAGCAGATACATAGGGTAAAAAGATATGCTAATGGCTTGAATAGAATCTGCTTTAAAATAAAATTATATGAGACCAGTATGATGACATTCATGACTGCCTAATTCTCTAGCCTTGATTCTAGCTATAGGCTACAACATCTTAACGATTTTATGACAATATTTCATTTCATGATACTACTTTGACATATGTTTTGGTGGATAAAGGGAATTGTTCAGTTTGTATGGGCACTTTGGCTTTGAGTGGACATTATCTACAGTTATAAAAAACATTATTTTTTAATATTTCATATCTTAAGGAAGTTAACTGTTGTAATATTTTCACGGGAAAGTTTAAAATTGTACATATATAAGCATGTGTAGTTTTCCATTGACGATGTAACGAAAAAGTTATTTTTTGCAAAATATTTTAATTACCTTATCATCATATTAATTTATTTATGTTAGAAATAAGAAACAGAGATGTTTAAATAAAGAAATTGTATTTACACATATTTACCTTTAATTTGACAATATAATTCTACAAGCAAAAGACAGTACTTCTAAATACACATATTTATAAGAATAGACTTTACATAATCACTCAAAAAATAAATTACACTGCTCATACAGTTTCTCTTCCGCTGGAGGCTGGCATTTGGGCAATCAAAAAAGCTGCTACATTTATATAAGTTGGTCACATGACGTCCTAATCTTTGAATCTTCCACGGCCTCTCCTGACGTGTGCTCTCCCTCAAACAAGACTATTCTCCTGCTTAGTGCTCATCCTCGAGCACAACTCTTCGGCTTGGAGCGACTGAAGACTCACATTTAGGTCTGCGCCTATTAACAGAAAGGACTATTTTAAAACACCTATTCAGTACATTTGCACATAATTACTTAATAATAAATTAACATTAAATAAAGAACAACTAGTTAATAGTAGCAGTATTAATAGTATATCATTCTGATGAAAGATGTAGCTTCCCAAAGCAAAAGACCAAAACAAACAATTTTACCTGAAGCCAACTGGGAAATGTCAGTTGCTGTGGTGAGTCTCAACCCGGAACAAAACATAATGCTTGTGAATCAGATGCTCTTTTAAAATCCGGTAAGGTAATGTTCTGTATAGGTTCTGGAATATTAGAAGGAACTGTCTCTATCTGCTCGCTGCCAACATGGATGACAGATGCGATCAGCTCCATGCACCTAAAAGAGTATAATATATAATTAAATTATTTGTCAAAAAAATGTTACTTAAACGATATGGTAGCGATATATTAATGTTTTACATGTCATAAAGGAAGTTTAATTATAGTAATCATAATAAATAAAAATAACTATAATCCTACCTGTCGTGGGGATATCCAATCAATAATTTCATTTCTAATGTGTGTTTCTCTGTCGGATATTGTTTGCAGTAGATGTGATCTAGTACGTAATATAGATCTTTCACAATTTATACAAAGCTGCCGACGATATTCATGTAGTAGACCATTACACGATTTGAATACATTCATTAAATCAAACAATTTTGAATTACCAATTTTATCTTTCTACATGGATTTACCAAAAACAACACGTTAAACGATATTAATACGTTATTTAAGGAATTATTTTCTATAAACAATAATTTTAATAAGAATTATCACTCAAACGTATTTGTTGACAAAATGAAACGGTGCTGCCATATAAAAATCATTAATCGATTAGAAAGTAATCGATTGATAGTGTAAATTAACTCTTGTCTAACCAAAAAGGATTATTTGTTATCTTTTTAATATATTTGATACATGATTTTGCAAAAGATCACCTACTGTATATGCATTAATATATATATACTTTAATTACTGTCATTTGTATTAAAGTAAAACCTTATCGATTAATCGATTCTATTAGTTATAGTAATTCAATAACATTTATTGATATGGAAACACAGTGAAACATGTTAACAAAACACATCCGAATCCAAAAAATACTTTTAAAAATAATATTTTTAATGTTTAGATTCCCATGACGAGAGTATAAAAAATATTTTTTTCAGTTTCAATAATAATTTGCTGTTAACATAGTTTTTACTAATTAGCTTGTCCACCAAAAGCCAAAATTGAACAATTCCCTTTGGGATAAATGCCTAAGTTGGTAACACTGTTATCAAATCCATCATTCTTTATTGTTAGTTCATTATTACAAAAATACAGGTTAAAGTAGTAAAATAAACCTAAAATATCGCCATAATATCAGTAAGATGTCATGACGTATCCTATGGCTAGAATAGAATAATGAAATATAATACCTACTGCAATCTACTTTCTCTTACTAGCAGAGAAACATTACAAAGCTTTGCGCACATACTTTTGTATAAAAGCTTAATACTTTTAAATCAGTTTTCCTAATTAATATCATAATGATTTCATTGAATAAAGCCTTCTTACGTGAAGAAAACAATGTATTCATTTAATTGTTAACAAATATCACAAAAACATCAGCTTGGAGAATGTGATGTCATATGTGGGTCACACAAAATAGATTTTAAAAATTTAAATATAAAACTTTAGACAGGATAACAGATGTGCAAATCTGAAAAATCTAATCATAATAATCAGTGTCATTAGGAAACTCTTTCAACTGATTGTGAGTGAACGGTTTTCCAAGAGTCTTGGGTTATAATATAATATAAGAAAAAGTGAATTTGTTATTTGCACCAAAGGTTAATAAAAAATATAAAAACCTAGAACCGACACCACCAATCAAACTGATTGGAAATCTTTTAACACAGATCATAAATATTTAGGACATATTATATATGATGATTTAAATGATGAGATGGATATAGAAAGGGAGCGAAAGGTGTTGACTGTGAGGACTAACATGTTAATCTGTAGGGTTTCCTGATATTAGAAAGAGGTAAAATTACACTAATTATAAATGAAACAACTTTTAAATGATTTTATTGCATTTGTATTAATAGAAGAAAGCAATATGTAATTTCACTATTCAAATTATTTTGTCAGGTTTTACACAGGTAGCCTATGGACAATGTATACTCAAAAGGGGTCAGCGCTCTTCATGTCCAATATATTAACACATTTATGATATTGGGACTTCTGCGGTTCTGCAGTGCGTCAGGCATGTTTGCGGAAGCACTTGTTTACAACGAAACAGCATTATTAAGTTATGATTAAATTTGAATATTGTTTTAAATTTGATATTTATTATATTTATAGTTCAAATTATAAATTAATGGTAAAAATATGTACCTACTATTGGAATAATTAATAGGGGTTATGGTTATAGAAAATGTATATGCTCAAAAATGATACTACATCTAGACATTAAATTATTGGTAGCTGAAGTATTAACTTAGTAAAGTCAAATAAGAATTTAATGGCAAAAGTAGTAATTTCCTATCAGAATAATCTATTTGTTTACATAATTTACTTGAATATTTTGATAACTAAAATATTTAGTTTTCCAAGGCATTTTCATGTTAATAATATGGTAGCATTTTAACATGTTTTAATTATTTTAAAACGACAGAACTGTATTTACGAATGTTGATGAATGAGAGGACAATGTTAGAACATGAGAGCTTAATAAAAAAAAAAAATTGAATGAAATGACACATATACTAAGTGTTTGTCAAATACAGTTCACATATTAATATTATTTACTTACCTCATATTCTACGCCACTCTTCTTTGCCTTAGAATTCACAGGCGGCATCTTGAGAACAGCTGAACGAAAATAATTAATACAAGTGGGACGAAATAAATACCGTTAATTACATATTGGACTTGAAACTCAATTTAAACCAATCACCAAAATCTATGTAAATTTACACAATTTATCATACAGTTATTAAAAGAGTGCAATATTCTGAAAAAAGCAGAGGCAGTTGTTCAGAAGTTGCTGCTGGAGTTTGACATTTTAGTTAGGGATTCCGATTTCAAGTTGAGTTTAATGAAAATCGGCCTTTCCAACTCAATGTTTTGGATCGATTTTTTTCCACCTAGATCGATTTCACTTTCGTCGCAAAACGAAGAGATAGAAAATCGATAAAAAGAAACTATCCATTTTTTTTTCAATTTTTTTTAATACGACCTCTTTCCAGTTAAAAAAAATATGGACCATAGAAAGTATAAAATTGTGATATAATCAAAAGACTATATTTATGTACCTATTATTCACTCATAAACTTTTTCATATAGCAACGATTTGAAATGATATTGCCAAATAATGAGGAAGTATTAAAAAAAAATGAAAGCACTAAAATCACCTCCACTAGATGGCGACTCTAGCAAAAGTTGATTTTTGCAGGAAACGAATGGACCAAAAACAATCATTTCCGTTCCTTTTAACTAACATATTAAAAAACTGAAATTTGAAAAGTTCAAAACTTAGATATCAATACAAATACGAAAAAGTATAAATAGAATACGAGTTGTTTATTTAGTTTTGAAAACTAATTTACTTTTAAATACGAAAGAAAACCGGAAGGGTTGTCATGGAGAAATCAAAAACGTAGCTAAGCGATATCTAGTTTGATTTCAAGAACTAATGTTTTTTTTTAATACTTCCTCATTAAGTCGATCCTTCTCATAAAGTTTTTGTTTTCTGTAGTGACCCACATAGAATCTTGACTTTTTTCTTTTGCCAGTAACCTCCTGAGTAAGGCTCTACCACAAATAAGTTTTACTCACTAATATGCAGAAAACTCAGAAAAACTTTGTTGTTGCACAATAGTTGCATCAAATTGGTCAATTTTACTAAAAATTCCTTGAATAATCAGTGATAAAATGGTATTACTATTTATTAGAAGCACCTTATTTGCGGAAGATACGTTCGTTAAATATGCCTCGAATACGGGATAGCATTTAGTATGGAATTATAGAGGATATGTTTCAATGTTCTAAAATAAAAGCCAGGTAAAATAAATACAGTTGAGGTAAGATTATTGAAGAAGTGTAGATAACTTTTTTTTTAATTTTATAGATATATTTGAAATATATCTAAAAAATATTTTAAAATATCATTCATAAAATAAGTTGAGATCTAAAACTTAAATTAATTTTCAAAATTTTCCACGAAAATGCCACTTTTGTCATGGCGTCGCTGTGGCGTCACGACATTTTGAAACGAATATCGTTTTATGTATGCATAAGGTTGAATAAGGTAGTTGACAGTTTTTTTAAAACTATTTTAAATAGTTGTTTGATACATTTCAAACACGCTATTTATATATTTCATGGAAATCAGTTCTGTTTTCAATGAAAATAGTTATTTATGTATAAATAGCCAAAATCGCGCAAAAAACGTTGCTCTATATAATGGTGCTGTTTATGTGATATTTGTAACGTCATACGGTAATAATGTATGTCAAGGCCACATAACCTATTTATCGACAATTTATTTACAAAAAAGAAGTTGAAGATGAAAGAATGCTGTATTATACTTAAATACTATTATATAATTTTTCTATTATATAGAAGATGCTGAAATTTTATTTTGTAGTGCGATAACTGTCGATGGTGGGGGCTTAACATTCTAAAATACAAGTAATATTGCTTACTATAGATGTCAGCCAGTCTACTACAAACTATGATTATGATTATCTAAGCACATTATTGGTGTCAAAAGTTTGTGGAGAAATTTTCCGGTAAACATAATTTAGGAATAGAGAAATATATATATTTGATCTTCTCTGCATTCTCTAGAAAATATTATGCCAGTATCATCGGCATATGATATTATTTTACAATTTTGAAGCCTAAACTGACATAGATCATTTATGTAACATAAAAATAAAGTAGAATTGGTTACATTTCTTTGTGTAATGCCGAAATTAAGTGTCTGTTCACTACTTCAGTGATTTCCTATTTTGACACACTATGAATGTTTGTACAAATAATCCTTAAAAAGAACCAACTGAGTACGTGTATACCGATATTTTCAAGCTTTATTCAATAGGATATGTAGAGAAACTATCAAATGCCTTTTTGGGGTCTAGAAAAAAGGTAAGGCATTTTCTATTTTTCTCAATTTTTTTAGCTTTCAAATAACAATATCAAATAAAACCTTTGGAAATATGTTACTCAATCAGGTCAAAATGGCTCAACGGATTTAAATGAAATTTATGGCAGAAATATTGATCGCATTATTTGAAAAATATTAATACTATTTTTTATCCCGAAATAAAGAATAGTTTTCTTATTATGTTACGTAAAGTAAATGTACAGTTTCCATGAGTTGTGCGGACGGAAGTCAGGTACTCTCTATTTTTGTATGTACTTTTCATAAATTATTATATATTTCCTTTAATCGTATTTCACTGAAGAAATGTTGGCAACCCTATGCAGTACATCGGGTTATTACAAAATATCAAATTTTATAACTACAGTTAGGAGAAAATACAGATCAAGTAAACTGGATAATTCCATTTCCTGTACATTCCATTTATCGGTTTGATTATACCGATTACATAAATTCTTTTCACATCACTAAGACTGTCACCATATCAATTGACAGTCAATTTGGCATTTACAGGAAATGGATGTCAGTTGATTGTCTCTGGTTTCTCATAATATGACAGTGCGCGCGCAAGCATGAGCTTTGCTAGGAGGGATTTTTGAAAAAATCGTCAGGCAGTGCTTGGGGCGTGATAATTTTTTCAAAAATCCTACCTAGTATAATACGTTGAATATAGTTTTTTCATTATTATAGTTTTACAGAAAATAATAGTGTGAAACTTTCAATTATAGAGTCAGTCAGGAGGTTAGGACCCAGTAATCATCGGGTACTTATAGTTGTTTATGCCCGTAGTGTGGTTTTTAGTCAAGATACATCAAGTTAATAAATATTAGACAATTTACTGGGCGTACGTAGTCATATCCTAATTCTGCAAAGACTTCAATTAGAATTCTTTGTAATTAACTTTTAAGTTTAAGAATACTTTTGTTTATGAAATTACGTTGTTTTTCTAATTTATATTAATGATCTTCCTCACTTTACGAAGAATTTGTGCGAGACAGTATTATTTGCAGATGACACCTCTTTACTGTTTAAAGTTGAGAGGGGTAATGATTGTTTTGACGACGTAAATAATGCTCTCGAAAATGTTCTACAGTGGTTTGATAATAATAATTTAAAGCTCAATTCAAATAAAACGAAATGCATAAAGTTTGCATTACCTAATGTGAGGCATGTCAGTACACTTATAAATGTAAATAGTGAAAAAGTTGAGTTAGTAGAATCGACAAAGTTCCTTGGTATTACACTAGATTCCCGACTGCAATGGGATCCTCATATTGATAGCTTGTCAAGTAGATTGAGTTCTGCAGCTTTTGCTGTTAAGAAAATTAGACTCTTGGCAAATGTTGAAACGGCAGGATTGGTATATTTTAGTTATTTTCATAGTGTAATGACGTATGGTATATTGTTGTGGGGTTCTGCGGCTAGCATTCAGGATATTTTTATTCTACAAAAGAGAGCTGTCCGTGCTATATATAATTTACGGGCTACGGAATCTCTCAGAGAAATATTTAAAGAAATAAATATTCTGACTGTTGCCTCTCAATACATCTATGAGAATATTATGTACACAAGAAAACATTACGATTCCTTCACAAAAAAAGTAGTGTTCATAATCTTAACACAAGAAATAATAAATTTGCCGTTCCAAGCTTCAGACTTCAAAAAACCAGAGGATCATTTCTGGGTAAATGTATTGCTATGTTCAATAAAGTTCCACAAAATGTAATTGACCTACCCATAAATAAATTTCAAATTCATGTAAAGAATACCTATACTTATGAGTAAAGGCTATTATAAGGTTGATGATTATTTTAAGGATCGCAATGCATGGAGTTGATAGCCTTCGCTTTGTTCTATAAAGTCTAATTATATGTTCAACCTATGTCCTACAGACTTGGAAAGTTGTATTTATTATTGTGATAATACATATTATTTTGGTAATGACATGATTTATGTAAATGTCTTTACTTATGATAAAAATCGGTAAGTTTCTTTCGCCTGTTCTTCTTGTCAGATAAAAGACGTCCTGAACAAGTGGTAGGGGAAAAGGAATTTTTTGGACAATTCAAAAGTGCTTGTTATAGCCTACTTGAATAAAGATATTTTCATTTCATTTCATATGCGTAAGAAACAAAATAAAATTAAAAAAATCATGAGATGCTGTATATTTTTTGTAAAATACACATAATTTATTCACAACATTCACCCTTTGGAATACCCGGTAGGTAGGTATATTATTTACATAAATAGAATACAACATATAGGTAATTAAGGGTTAGTAATGATGGTCATTACACATAATGTTTATTTATTACAAACGCCACTTAGAATTTTTGTACACAGTTCAATCAATAATGGTTGATTCCGAAATTTGAGTTGTCGAAGAACTAATAATAACAACCTAGAGAAAAAAAAAATTGAACAAGGCAACCTGTATAATCAGCTTTTTATTGTATTATATAGGTACGTATAGAATACTTAATAAATTTAAAAATTTATATACATATTTTAAACGCTCGTCTTTACAAAACATACATTTATATAATATCTGAAATGTCACTTTTTTATACTTTGCGAATATAGTAGTTCAATATTTTATTAAAGACAATAAAAGGTATTTATAGATTTACTTTAGTCATAGGGATGCACAACTTTTATCGATTAATTATTTTAATGTATTAAATTACTAATATTTTCATTTGTAAGACTTAGTTTATAAAAATTTATGCCAAAGTCGAGTAGGATAGAATAAGTACGATAGAAAGTTGTATTTATTATTGTTATAATACGTACCATTTTGGTAATGATATGTTTTATGTAAAATGAAATGTCACATGACGTCACGCTTTTGTAGTTGTAAATATTCTACATAACTGACGTAGCGCGCCACCACTCCTCAACTTTAATGCCTATTATCTAAACCATTTGTTGTTAAATTGAATTGTATCTAATATTTTTCTGTTATATGATTGACGGACTAAATAGTTTTTTTTAACCCAGTCGTCATCGAAATTCATAATAATTCACCATTGCCTTAATGTTTCTTGCGTGCTTTACCTGGATTATTCAGATTGCCGGTATATAGAATGATCTAAACTTAAATTAAGGTAATGTTAAGGAACCATTTTTCGTATACCTAAGTTCATCACTATGGGCTGTAAGTGTGGTCATTTAATCTACGGAATTTAACCTTTATTGAAGAGTTTATCTCACATTAGATATGAATAAAAAATATAGAAATACTTAAGTTACGTAAGTTTATACGTTCTAGTTATTGTTTTGAAATAATATACATAAGAATGGGTGGAAGTGGAAAGTAGACAGCCGGTAATGATGATGGATCTAATTTAAGGGCTAATTTGGTGAATGCTCCACATTACTTAACACCACTTTCTATGGTCTGTGCTCAACAAGTAGGACTAACAATCAGTTGCACAAACGTCCATTAAGATTATCAATAGTTTAAAACGATATTACCGATACAAATTTTCAAACTAAGAACATTTATTAGAGCTTAAACCTTATTGGACGTATGTTCAACTAGGTGTTAGTTGCACTGAATAAAGCGGCTATAATATATGAAAATCACGAATAAATCACGTTTGATGTATTTTATTCCGTTTTTTGTGTTTGTCGTTACAGCGGTAACAGTACATCATATATGGAAATTTTCAACTGTCAATCTGTAATAATAAGTTTAGTTTTTTTGTACTAGTAATTTAAAAGGATTAAAAACGCTTTCAGACAGTATTAAAACTAAAGCTGTTGTAGTTAGTGAATTAGAATTGCTACCGTAATCTGCATTATTTTGTATCTGTTGCTTTAAAGCTGTGGAGTGTATTAGTTATTTTTCTTTTATCCAATCAAGTTACAGAATTATTTCTCGTTATATACTTGAATACACACAATTTAATGAGATTTTTCGGAGTGAATGCATTTTATTTTATTAGGAGCTCGTTATATATACATATACCCAGATACAAACATATGTTTGGGTACTGGTTACAAAAAGTTTTTCTAGTTTTTTATGTATTTAATTACATAATTTATCCATTTTATAAAATACATGTAGATAAAAATTATATTTACAAATATACAACATTGTGTTCGAGCCTTACAAATAACCTTCAATCTTCGAATGTATTAATAAATACGAATCGTTAAAAATTTTAATATGTACTAATATAAGTACTAACATTTAAAGATACATCAAACAAATACGTACATGACACAAACATGTAACATATAAATTAACAATTATTTCTTTATCCTATTAGGTACATTTTTATTTTTTTTGGTATTATGGCACAATAACAAGAAATAATGTAATAATTTTCTAAACGGTCACCGCTTCGTCATCTATTTTCTTCATAATCCACAAGAGAGTTCAATAATCTTAAAGTTAAAAAAATATATATCACACAACAGTATTGAGTATTATCACCTCCATTTTATTATCTTTACCATTTATCGAATCTCTGTAGAGGAATCAACATTCGAATTGTCCAACGCGTCCGTGGAATGTGAAGTGGGCGGCGGTGTTAGAAGGCGACGTGCGCGGTACATACTGCGACGTCCTCGCCACAGGTCAAGTGAACTCTTCGTCTTCTTCCTCGCTGCTTTCAGTGTCTGATTCGTGTTCAGGTTCAGGCAGCGGGGCCAGGTAGTCGACGGTCGGTCGTTGCGCAGGTATCAAGTATCCAGCGGCGTCCTGCGCGGGTGGAGGTGGAAGTGGCAACTTCACCTGCGCGGCCGAATTGCCCGCAGCAGCGGCCACTTCCAGCTTCCTGCAAATCTCATCGAATCCTATCCTATCACGGGGATCCGTTTTCCAACAAGCGCGCATCAGCTCGCACGCGAACCGCGGACAATCCTCTGGCGGTATTAAAACTATACCTTGGAGTATTAACTTCGTCGCGCCGTCGTTGTTGTGGCCGTAGAAAGGTTGCTTACCTCTGCTGTAGATTTCCCATAGCACGACACCGTAAGACCATACGTCCGATTCGTGAGTGAAACGAGCGTAGACTATGCTTTCGGGGGACATCCAACGTACGGGTATCGGACGTTCGCCGCCCATTTTATAGTAATCGCACGTGTAGACGTCCCGGGACATACCGAAGTCTGCTATTTTGACAGTCAAATTAGCTCCGACCAAGCAGTTGCGCGCTGCTAAGTCTCTATGCACGAAGCGGCGTGACGCGAGGTACTGCATGCCCCGTGCCACTTGTAGGGCTACGTGTAGAAGGGCGGGATCGTCTAAATGTGGTCCAGAGCGACCACCGCCTTTGGAGCCTCGTAGAACTCCTGCTAGGTCACCCCACTCCATATACTCGAAGACCATCCAAGGGCTGGCTCCTATGTCATCTGTAGAGAGCAATAAAAAATCATCAATGGAACTTAAATTTTCGTTAACGATTATGTAACAAAAAATTTTATTTAGTAAATTAAATTTTAAATATGTAAAACTTCATAAAGAAATTGTTTATCAAAACTGTTTATTGTTTAAAAAATGAAAGTTAGGATGACATTTTATTTAGATATAAATTTAATATGTTTTAATATTTAAATATACCTCTATAGACGACACCAACTAGAGTAAGAATATTAGGGTGTCGAAAAGCTGACATTATTGACACTTCTCGAACAAAGTCCTCTTCAGCACTTCTGCCTGCACTCTCTTTCAGAACTTTAATAGCTACTACTGATTCTCCGCTATTGGATTGAAGTAGACCTGAAATTAAAGTTATTTATTAAAAATAAATATACTGTGTATTATTTGAGCTTCTAGTCTAAGGCATTTGAATGTAGAAAATGTCATTTTCAATATCTGGGTGATTATGGTACAACCTTTGGTTACCATTTTGTATAAGATAGGTACTGTTTTCAAATTAATTGGAACCTCTGTGGAGCAAATAGAGTTGGTGCTTGCGTTTGTTATATTGAAATGTCAATTAAATGCGAGCTAATGGATACTTAGATTGAATGGATAGCAATTAATCGAAATAAATTCGGAAGTACTAAATAATGCTGAATGAGATACAAAGACAGTTGTAATCAATTCCACTCATTTACACATTCGGAAGAACGACTACGTAAAATAATGCCTTATATCCCCATTGCGGTATACTTTGTACGTCTGAAAAGTTATTTTTGATTCGATCCAAAATTACAACTCTATTAAAGCCTTTTTCATTTATGTCACAACGGAATCTTTGTGTTTCTGATAAGTATCTGCTAAGATATGAAATAAATATAAGAACCTTATCTTATAGGTAAATAGGTCAAAAAAATCGCCAATCCCAGGGTCCCTAGATGAGATTTCAATCTCGTCATAAGCATCGTCATCATCAAATAATTAGAAGAACCTTACTTTTCCCTTAATGAATATTATAATATTTCGTTTTAGGATATATTAAAGCATTAGGGTTTTGAAACAGAGACGAGTTAAAACAATACTGATTTCTCGAAATTTAAAACCGTTAACGAGTTCATATCACGCATGGGGTAAGCTTACGGTGGTAAGCAGTTAATATTTTCCTGTTTTCCCGTTTAAAATTCCATATGACCCTCATAGTCCTTCTTACTTAAGGGAACGTTTCCAATTTCTGGACATAAATCATAGTCGTGAGCTGCGGTCTGAGACGGATAATATGCCAGATATTCCTTATACCAGATCGGGATACTGCCGTGAGTCCTTTACCATTAAAGCTGCTGCAGCTGCTTTTGTATGTTATTCGACATATAAAATCTGTTGCCGTATTCAAATCTAAATTGCATGAGCATCTCTTTCCAACATATATTATTTATTAGGTATTTTACACATTTATATATTTTACCTTCATTATCGTGCTACTTTATTTAATTATTATATTATGTTTGGCTTTCTTCTTTATTATTAGCACACTATCTCCGCTCTTGTTCTCCGAATGTTAAACGAATCAAAGTTTGTCTGGAGAAGCTTTTAGCGAAAAGAGCGCTTTACCAACCAATATTGTTAACATATTATTACAAATTACGTGGAGCAATAGTGTCTATCTATCTATCCATGTGTTGATGGTAACTTCGGTTTTTAAATTTCTTGAAACCCATGTTGTACCAACTAACGCCTGTTTCTAAATCCTTCGATCCTCTATACAAGACGTACGTGTTTTAAACGAATTCGAGAACGTTTCGTCTACGCCCAAATATCTGTTGGTCATAAGTTATTTCACTCTCGAAATCTCGACCGGAGAAAAGTGACATTCGGTGTAGACAAAACGTTTCTCCAGTGTCTAATGCTACGCTGGCAAAAGAAAGAGTTTTGCTGCGAACCTTTGTGGACCTTTCCGAAGCAGCCCTCGCCGACCTCTTCGAGGAAAGTGAGCGCGTTGCGGTCCAGCAGCGGCACCTGCTCCGTCGTGTCATCTTCAGCAACCACGGCCACCGGCGGTCCCGCGCTGTATACTCCGTACTGAGGGTTGGTTATATACCGTTCAGCTAGCAGAGGCTCCCCTGGCCGACGCTAGAAGGACAGTGGATATACAAAGGGGCTCTTGATATTTTGTATAATTGCAATCAGTAAGTAGAGTAAAGGAAATTCGTCGGCAAGAAAGGAGGTCATACATGGATTGTTGCCCGTTACATTAAAATATGTTGCAAATAGTAAATAAAAAGCAACACAGAAAACATGCATAGAAAAGTTAACGAAACACACTTAACAGCGGAAACAAATGTCATTATTATGTATTGTTTCTGGGATGTGTCATTAAAAGTTTGGTCGGGAACGTAGAATAATATTAAACTTACATTTGTCACTACTAATCCTCAAATAATGCCACTTCTCCAACTAGTTACACGGAAAGACATTCTAATGTTCATTCATGTGTCAGGTACTAGTCATTATACATTTTTTTACGTGTAATATTGCATGTATAGTTAATATGTATGAGAAAAAAGTAAGACATACCTATTTTATTTATTTGTAAATATTCAATAACTGTGCCACGCTCACAGAAAATTTTTGAAATTGTATCATAATTTTATAAGCAACTTACAGTAGAACTGCAAAGTAGACAGGAAATAATAAAATAAAATAAATATAACAGTGTTTGCTAAATTTATTATTAGAATAATAGACATATACAACAGTAATATACTTAGCGGTCGCCAGAGACAGAAAGCTCCAAGAAAGCCAAAAGAGAGAGAGAACAGCAGTAAGTAGACATCAAATTGTGTTGCGTACCGGTTGAGTTTTGCCATCTACGTTCCGGAGTCTTCTTCTTAGATAGAAGACTATGACTACGACGATCAGTGTTACGAGGACTACGGCGCCGGCTGTCACGGTGACCAATAGGACGCCGGTACCGTTGACACCTGAACCGGCCACTGTTGTGTCGCTGCCTGTACTCTTTTCGGGCGCCGTTCGAATGACCATTGACTTGGAAGTCTGGAATTTAATTAGTATACATACATTATTATACTTGATAAATTTTGCATTCACAATGGAACTGGAAAATAAACAATTGGAAAATATTCTTAATAAATATGCTTATATAATCACCAGTTGTTTTAAGCATTACATAAAGAATAGTATAGTAGTTAACAGCACGTCGGGTTATACAAAACTGTTAAATTTCTCAATTTCATTTGAACCTTAAAACATTAAAGATAGAGTTCATATTCGCGTGGTAGGTCATGGCCCAATCTCCCTATTCGATTCGATTCGATCCCCACAGCAGTGGGGACAGCCACAACGGTGATGAAGATGATGACTTAATTTGCGACAGGGAACAAGCTCATCAGAATTAAATATTAAAGAAATATTTCTTTTGGTTTGTATTTGTTACCCTTTATTTAAATAGAAACCTTATTTTCTTCAACATCCAATTTTATTATTTTATTTGGGGTAAGGGGTATTTATTTAGTTATTTAAGGGGTTTCTCCTGTTATCTGGAATCTTATACGCAGAGGTCTTGAAGTGAAAATTTAAAATCGGTCCAGCAGTTTCGACGTCTATTCGATGTAAACAAACAAACAAATATTTTCTCTTTATAATATTATAACATATATACATAGATAGATAACATAATCATTTAATAATAATGGAAGCAAGATAATTTTTGATATATAATGAGTTAAGAAGTAATCACCTATCCAGTTGCTGGATCATCCAAGATTCTTATCTGTTATATAATCGGATACCTTATAATAAGCTTTTGTAATAAGTATTTTTTAATAATACTTAGATTTAAACTGCATGATATCTAATTATTATATTTTGCTTGGGACCTTATTGTAGAAACATAAAAATATATTATATAGTACCGATAGATCAAAATATTTATTAATATAAACAGTAGAAAAATAAAAGCTTACAGGAATGGACACTTTAATTCGGCCAACAACAACACTGTTATCTTAATCAATCTATTATGAATATTTATCAGTTCATGGAAAAATCTGATTCTGTTTATCTTTGCGTTGTCACGATGTACAATCAATAGTACGTCAGGCTAAAAAAATCAGTAAAATTTTCTCCACTTGATTTTAAAGGTTAACGTATTCAGGGTATGATAGATATGTCATGTGTATTTAAGTTCAAATCGATGAAAATAATTTGGCCTTTCATAGTAATATGATGTACTACTGCGATATATTCTGATGAGATAGGTGTCTATAAAAGATATAATCCAAAAAATTTTGTAAAACCTCATAGTGCCCACAAGTATTTATTATATAGAATGAAAAAAGTACTACTAAGTTAAATAATAAAACTATTTTATAGAAAAATGTAGAAGTTTAAGAATCCATTCAGTGACTATCGAATGTTTAACGCACTAAAAGTTATAGATAGAACAAACGGTTACGCAGATTGAGTGATAAGAACTGTCGACTAATGAAAACGGATGGTACCTCATCAGGAGGCGCTCGACTCTCGGCGGATGTGTTCGACGTCGTCGGTGGTATGATGTTGTGTATCGGCATCGGAGTTACCGGCACTGTGAACACATTGATATTATTAGAACGTTCATTTTTATAAGGAAGAACATTTGGATGTATTATTACTATTATTCAAAGTTTTGACGCTACTTCCGTGTAGGTAGATGTCAGATTGTTGAGTGAGTAATCCAAGCTTAGTAGTCAGGTGTGTCGTTACGTAAATCAGTGTTGCCACCTTTTGGGAAACAAAATTCGGGACATTCGGATATTATAAATAATCGCACTTCAGTCCAAGGGAGGTCCTCATTATTTTCAGGCCATGAGGTCTTCAATAAAACAGAAACGCTGCTATGATTTATCGAACCGTATCCTAATAGACATAAGGATACGGTTTACATCGCTGCGGGTCCAGCGTGGTGATAACTTAACCGCGAATGGTTATTCTCGAATTTTATCTATAATCATGACAAAATTCATGGACAACATCTTTGAAATTGGGACTGTCCCTAAACTTTCGGGTTAATAATAATAATTCATAAATTACATTTGTTTAGTGTTACATTGTATTTAAAGGCAATATTAGTATATAATATAACTTATATTCAATTTTTTAGTTAGTTTCTTAATTATTTAATTTGCGTTTACGGGGGGAATATTGAAAATTAAATCTATTTTTAGATTTTAATCTATTTATGACATTTTTAGATATACTTCATGTATATATATAAAAATAATTTGTCTACATCCCTATTAAGTATATAATTACTACTTAATCAGCAAACGTTCTATCTTAAATTTTAAAAATAAAACAAACTAATTAATAACAACAGTAATATAAAACTTACTTTAACGCAATTAAAAGCTCCTCTGTGTCCTCATACACAATTTATAAAATCTTGTAAGTTAATATGCACTATAGCGTTTTATCTATTGTATAATTAATACTGGCGGAAATATTAATGCGAAAATGTTATTAGTGTATATTTATCACTATAGTCACTAGATATAAAAAAAAATTGTGATTCGTTATCAAAACAGCAGGTCTAGCATTTTACAGGCTTTCATACTGATTGTGTATGTTTCGTGTGCATAGTCATATGTTTTCGTGTTTCAAGCTCTTGCTTAGAGTATTGCAAATGTAAGAGGTTATACCTGTCCTATTACACAGGACAGTTTAAATCTATGACAAATATGTATGAATAACTTCCGAACAATAACAATTTAAAAATTGGCGCACTTCCGAGGTCGAATGATTTATTTCTATTCTACCGGTACGTACGTAACGTAATCGGTGGTGAACAGCCTCGAACTTGACGTGAAGTATAGCGTTGTGACAGCGTAGAGCTTCATAAAATAAAATCTTTATTAATTGTTGAAGAAGGTTTCATTGGATTTAACAGCTGCGACCTCTGTATTTTTATCCCGTTGACTGAATATTACAGTAGGGCAGTGTAATTAACACACAACAGTTTAAACTATGGTATAAATACCAAACAAGCATAGCATACAGATGACTTTAGTGAAGCTAGAGAAATTTCTACAGGTACTGTAGACAGGATGAGGAGCTCGACGGCGTAATAAATTAACGCGTTCGTTTTGCGACGCGAAAGTTATGCCACTTTCTCAAAGGCCGATCATAGGGTGGGATAGTTTGGGCCTAGTGCCTACTCCTCTCTTCTAATTCGATTCGAATCAATTCCATGAATAGAGAAGGCTTATGCCCCAGCACTGGGCACATTAATGACAGATGATGTCATGCGCAATATGCGCACAATTGGCCGATTAGAGCGTCTAAGTGCGGAATATTTTATCCTGGACTTGGCGGAGGCACTTCTGTGCCCAAAAATATATATTAGTCGTGCTAGCTCATATACTTAGGCCATTTAGTAATACTATGAATGGTTGTTTTGTAATATTGTACCTGTACTTCGTGGACATTTATTATCCCGTGTAGGTGGTAGTCCGGTGGAGGTGCAGACGCAGTAGTAATCCGTGCTGTTGAAAGGCATGCATGCTACCTCTTCAATGCCAAATAAGCATGACTGAGGCACACAGCTTCCTTTATATAAGGGACCTAGAAAAATAAGAATATCATAGCTTAAAATGTATGCATTTATAAAAACGCTTTTACCATGAAATTTAAAGGTGATGAAATATTTAGATTGTAATACCCTTAAAAAAACAACTTTCCTATTTCATCTCGATTTTTGATTCTGAGATCAAGATTCGCTATTCTATAATTTTGACCTATTGAATAGTGCACAAGAACTATTGGCATAGTTAGCGGCTTTTTATAAATTATACTTAACTTTTCGATTATATCTAAAATTGCAGAGAACTTTATTGATACATAAAAAGCGTGAAGGCACTTCTTTTGAGCTCCTAGATTGAGAAATAAAATAAAAAATAGACTGTTATCTCTTCCCTCATATAGTTTGTAGCGGCCTCGAAAAATTGAAACATTATTGATAAAATGTAGAAAAAGAAACAATATTATAAACCAAAAAACTTCAAAAATAGCTTTAACTACAATTCCTACCTTCGATAATATTATTGAAAAATCTTGACCTAAATAATTATTACTTCTAAGAAATAATGATTTCATAATTTATTATCCTATTTCAGTAAAAACGATCAATATTACTGTAAAATTACTACAACATGCTGATTTAATTGGTTGGGCCCTTAAGCGATATTGTTTGTAAGTAATAGAGCTCTTATTCTAAGATTAGCAAGTATCAAATCAATGTGTATAAAAAGTACACATAAATTTTGTCCTTCCTTTAATTATTACCTGTGTGCCTCGTTTCTTCTCTTGTGTATCTAGCTAATTTTACTGCACTGTTACGCAGTTTCTGAAACAATAAAAATAAAACGTCGTCACTATTAACTTTTATGGCATTTAAATTACAACGTCGAATGCAACGTCGAGCAAAGCAGATTCTGTTACGTTATCAGAGGTATGATCAAATAAGATCTATATCAAAAGGTTATAAAGATTTTATTTGATTGAGCTGTATACGTATGCTGTGATTTTGTTAAGCTCAACGTAGCTTTCGACGTTGTATTTTTACAGAATTATAAGCTAATTTTATTGATTGTATTTTCGAAGAGACAATTTATGAGACGAACATAGCAAACATGTGCATTCCAACATGAACTTTGGTACTCGCGTTGCTCTGCCACCATACTAATCAGGCCAGGCATCTCATTAGAAACCCATTAAAATGTCCCTGTTTCATATTCTTATGTACATTTTCATATTAATTAGCTCGAGAATTCTCAATCTTAGAATAGCTATTAAAATACCAATAAGTAGGTGGGAACATTATTGTACCACGTGTGTCCATAAGTTTTGAGACGAAATAAAAATTGCGTAAGTTTTTTAATGATTAACTTATATTTCTAAAATTTTCAGTAATCATTAAATAGACAATAATCAACAATAAAATATAAATTTTATTCAAAATTACCACCATTGTTTTTATTACAGGCTCTTAGACGATTTGCCCAGCTATTAATGGCGGCACGAATCTTTTCTAGCGGAATTCACTATGCTTCTCGGACAAGGGTTCGCTTCACTGTCTCCAAGTTTGGGTGGGACTTTCGGTAGGCCCTGAACTCTAATTCAGTCCGTAAAGATTATTTTTTACGGACTGCATTAGAGGGTTGAGGTCGGGGCTGGAGAAGGACCACTCGGCCGTCGCGATGAAGGCCGACACATTCTCCCTTAACCAAGCTTGGGTGCTTTTTGCCTTATAGGATGGCGCCGAGTCTTGCTGAAAAACCCAATTCTTGTTGTGAAATGACGTATTAGACAGGGGTTTCACCAAGGGCTCTAAAATGTCACTCTGATAATTCTTGACTTTCACTTTGACACTTTGTTGGCAGAAATGAAGCTTAGTGACACATTCATACAAAACTCCCCACCATACCATCACACTAGCCGGATGATGAGTGCGCGAGACATTCCGTGCTGATGCTGGGACATCCTTGCTTCTTTTAGCGTACACTTTATTTATTGTTTTGTCGGTGGAACTTTTCTTCGACAGTAAAAAAAAAACTCGTCGGTGAAGAGTGTCTTTCTGGAATCATGTCTCCTCAGCAGCAATGGACAACTTTCGCGCCGTAACTTACGAAGACGATCGTTTCGTAACTTACGAAATTAACTTTACTCCGGCCGTAGGGCTTAAGATCATATTTCAATTTACTGTTCAGTGAACAGAATACTGAAATATGCGCGAAATATTAGTCTGCAGAGCGAGTTTTTTCTGAATGCGATATGGATTTCAGCGAAGTCGCTCTTGGATGATTTTGATGTTTGCAGGCATTCTCATAGAGCGTGTCCGACCAGTCCTTTGGCGATCTTGCAGATAACTTATCTTTTTGTGCCGCTGTATTGTGTAATGGACGAAGTTACGGCTAACAGGATAACTTTTCTGCTTGCGGAAAATCTGCATCGGTTTTTTTCCCGCCTTAAATAGCAAAAAGACAGTTACACATAATTGTATCGTTTCCTCCATCACGAGAAAATAAAACAAATGAATTTGGTATACAAATAAACTAATAGTTAACATTCCCAATTTAAAATCGGTAAAAAAATATCAAATCGGTGCAAATATCTTAACTTACAAAGTCACGATGACTACGCCAGATTCATGACTATTGACAATTCCCTATTTCCGAACTTAAATTGGTGGATGAATGCCATTAATTCTTTTGGTCACAGAATAAGAAGTGACGTCTACTCCCTTAAATTATATTCTGACGTCTCAACAACGGGGTGGGGGGCTGTGTGTAACGGAAAAACGGCCTCCGGGCAATGGTCCGATAGGGAAAAAGATTTTCATATAAACTATCTTGAACTATTAGCTGCTTATTTTACCATAACAATATTTCCAAGAGGGTACAGGGATTGTTTAATATTGTTAAGGGTTGACAATACCACTGAAATGAGTTATATAAGCCGCATGAGTGGAGTTCAATTCCTGCATCTGAATAAAATAACTAAAGATATTTGGTAATGGTGTGTGGTTCGTAGAATACTTATTACAGCCTCATATATAAAGTCCTCTGATAATTGCATTGCAGAATATGAATCTAGACGGTCACATCCGGATGTGGAATGGGAACTGTCTGAGGGAGGTTTTTAGCTCTTAAAAATATATTTGGGAACCCTCAGATTGATCTTTTCGCAAGCCGTCTTAATAATAAATGCGATAAGTACGTATCTTGGCATCGGGACCCCGAGGCATATGTTGTAGACGCGTTTACTATAAGTTGGGCTAATATTTATTTTTATGCATTCCCACCTGTAGCAGTCATAATAAAAACTCTCAGAAAAATAATATCTGAAAAAGCTAAAGGCATCGTAATCGTACTGGCGTGGCCCTCCACTTTTCCACATTACAGCAGCAGGAATATACACGCCAACATTACTCTGGTGGGAGCAGTATTGTCCGGATGGCATTACTCCGAAGGGACACACCTGCATCTGCCATAGACATCATGCTAGCATCCTTATCTAGGAACACTATGAAGCAATACAACGGTTGTTTCAAAAAATAGTTTATGTACTGTACTGAAAATAATATAGACATATTTCAACCATCTATTCCAGTAATAATAGAATTTCTCACCTAAATATTAAACAGTGGCAGTCAATTTGTCACGGTAAACTGCTATAGAGCCGTGATCGTTCTACTTGTGGGTCCTTTGGCTCAAGATGATCGACTCACTCGTTTTTTTAAGGGAGTGTATAGACTTAGACCTTCTCTTTCTCTCCACGTTATGATGAGATATGGGATATAAATAAACTATTAGAATATATAGCCTCATTATATCCCCATGATACATTGTCGTTTGAACAACTGACTAAAAAATGTGCTACTTTACTTGCCATCGTTACAGCACATCGGGTGCAGACTCTCACTAAAATTAATGTACTTAATATAAATATTTCCACTGAACAAATTGTTATTAAAATTCCAGAATTAATAAAAACATTCAAAATAGGTAGAAATCAACCTACTTTATACTTGCCATATTTTAAAGATCGAATAGACGTATGTCCCGCTAGTACTTTAATTTCATATATAGATAGGTCTAAAGAAATTAGAAAGAGTGATAAATTATTTATTGGCATAAGAAAACCTTATAACCGCGTTACTTCGCAGACGATCAGCAGGTGGATCAAAGCCACTCTCAAAGATAGTGGAATTGAATCTTTACTGCTCATAGCACGCGACACGCTGCCACAACAAGGTATGAATTTGGATTTGATTTTAAAACCACAGGTTGGACAGGTAATTCCACAAGTTCTGCGCGTTTTTATAATAGACCAATTATCCATAACTATGATGATCATACAGCTTTAGCTAGAACAATAATTGATTCCTGATTGTTTTCTGTTGTAAGGTCCATTTGGCTAGTTAGTTTAAAATAAATGGAAAATATTATTGATTCATAAAATATGTTGTGCCTAATTCTGTTATAAATATTAAACTTAAAAGAAATATATGACTTCTTTAATTTCTACAAAACGTTGTGAAATGTTTGTTCTCTCAACATTTAAATTGTAATATAATTAAGAAAATAATAATCTCGAGGACGAGGCACGAGTATAATTAATGATTAAACGAACTTACCTGTACGTGAAGTTCAATCATAATTATACGAAGTGCCTCGTTCGAGTATTTTCTTAATTATATTACAATGTAGTAACACTCATTCCATATCGGTATCAAATGAAAGTGCTTCACTTTTAGAATACAATACGCTTAATAAGCATGTTTTTTTTTATATATACTTTTGTTAAATCTTGCCTGTGCATCAAAAGCAGTGTCACGTCCTACCTCCATAGCATCAGAATGATCGAAAAATTGGTTTTTCGTTTTCGGAGAAACAGTGCTTTGTTTTGTTACTGGCTTTCAGTTCTTTTTACATACACTTCGCATAATATCCAAAGATTTTAAGTCAGTGTTAAAAAAATCCTTCTTTTTAGTAATTTCTTTATACTAGTTTTGTTTAAATCTTATAATAATATTTGAAAATACATAGATGTATGTACCTATATATAATTTATTATTTTAAAAGGACAGCCTCTTCAATGAGTTTGTGAGCGAAGATAGGAAGACGGGGTAATTTTACCGCTGTTTGACCAACACATATGGGATACCATACGAGGGTCAAACTGAAAGTTCTTAGAAAATCAAAAACTGATTACATTAGCCAGTTATTAGTTTTATTATATCTTTTCAAAATATTGTCCATTCACGTCAATACACCGCTGCATGCGATGGAACCACTGGGAAAAGCACTTTGCCCACTCGTCCTTAGGGGTCTCTTCAATGGCATCGCGATACGCAGCCACCGCTTCTTCAGCATTCATAAACCGCTTTCCTTTAAGTTTTTCTTTAATTTTTGGAAATAAATAAAAATCACAAGGCGCGAGGTCGGGGCTATACGGCGGGTGACCCAGTAATTCAACGTTTGATGTCGCCAAATAGTCGATCGTTCGCTTGGCGGTGTGCGACGAGGCGTTGTCGTGGTGAAGGAGGATCCTACTGCGAGGTCGTTTCTCTCGAACTTTTTCCAAGACAAGTGGCAAACAATTGGTAGTGTACCATTCTGCAGAAACTGTTTTTTGATCCTCTAACACAATTGTTGCAAAATGACCTATCCTTCCAAAGAACGAGGCCACTATTTTTTTTCCCGCACTTCGATCTCTCTTCACTTTAGTTGGCAACTCCTCGAAAGGAAACACCCACTGAGCAGATTGTCTTTTGGTTTTAGGATCATAACAGTAAATCCAGCTTTCGTCACCTGTTAGTATATCGAACACAGCATTTGAGTC